TTATAAAAGACATACTGTACCAATAAAGTTATTTAATTTTTTCTTACGATTCCGGGAAAGGGTTAATTTTGCCCTTAATCATGGACCCCAAGCGTGCCGTAAGCGGTGAAGGCCAGTGTTTGCGTCTGTGGCCCAGAGGAAGAGCAGGATGTTTGGCTGAGCCCCTCCCACATCATCTCCTTGTCGTCATCGTGAATATTAAAGGTATGTCATGTTATTTAACTTTTATTACGCTATTGTGTCATGTACTGTATTTTATTCGGTGTTTAGTTAATAAACAGGAAACTTAATTAAACGATGACGAGTCTAACCCCCGCGGTTGGCAAGGGATTGCTATAGACACAATTTTTTTTATAAAAATGGACATTACAATGAGATTGCATATAAACAAAGTAGTATCATAGACTAGAAAAGAAGTTAAACAAGGAAGTACACTCACGAAGGCTATTCAAGGTAAAACATGAAACGTATGCAAAGCATAGAGATAGATGCATGCTAGGAATGACAGTGACATGGATCAGAGAACAAATGCAAATTGGATAAATCCTGCTGACTTAAGAATAGTTGGCTTTGGTAGGACGTGAAATGGCAGCTAAAGGCGAGAACATACCCAGGAGGACCACTACTGCAGAGATAGAATTACAAGATCGGCTCACGTGTAGGAGCGAGACGGGTTGAGGTACATCGCATTACAGTGAAGGATGGTGACAACATGAGGTGGCCTTCTTCCAGCATTGGATAAAATATGGCTGATGATACTTATAATAGACAAAAAATGTCAGCACTTTGTTAATTCACTTCTGAATGAAAGCTTCTTCATGCTATGTTAGTCTTGCGGATTGTTTGACAAAACTTCACCAAGCTGATAAGTGCAGGTTGGAGCCCACTAACAGGTCAGATATGACTCACCATTTACGTGGCCGGGCATCAAATGCAGGTAACGAGGATAAAAGTGCATTCCCACTAACCATCTTGCCACCACTGCACCCTTAATCTATGCTTTACTGTATATAAAAAAATCTGAAAATAGTAATACAATATTAGAATTTAGGCCCCAAAGAATTACACCCAAAGGTTGTTTTCAATCGCAGTATCGGGCCAGCCGAAAGTTCTACGTAGCTTTACATCTCATTCCAAACACAAATACACTTTTTTTTTAATGAATCAAGTAATTTGCCTCCGATAGAGTGCGATATCTTGTAAATACAGGCAGACCTCGCTTAGCACTTAAAATGCGTTCAAAGAGAAGGGAGCACGAATCGAAACAGCGCTAAAAGGGGTCATTATACCATTGTATATATAATGATAAGTTCCCAACAGTGTTGTATCTTTCGTTTGAGCAAAATATGAGGGCTTCATTGGGTTATCGGTAAAAGCGCAAATAATACAAATGGTAAACATTATTTCAAACGTAAAAATAATAATGTATGATAACATCAGTAGTATATCCTTTACTCATGAGTGCATTCTAGCGTACCCCTCCAAGGGATCCATGGGGGAGCTGCTGCGCTCCAAATCTGGATCATTCTCAGAGAAAAGCTCCAGGAACTCTGTGATCTTCGTGATGTACTCAGTCTACATTTCTGTGGTAAGGTTTCTTTTAGGTGGAGCCTGAGACCAGAGGTCGCAAACGGGTTTTGATTCCTTACCCGTACCCGTACTCGGCCGCACCAGGGTCGCAATTGGGTACCCGTACCTTACCCGATACCCGGCTACCCGTACCCGGCCGGGTATCGGGTAGGGTACGGGTACCCGATTGCGACCTCTGGGATGAAGCCATGTTGCAGGCGTGGGTGGGTTGATTCTAGGCACTTGAATTGTGAGAAGAGACAAGACGTTGGGAAATGAGTGACAAACGGTTATTCACCAGTAACTCACGGCTTACCCGTACCCGGCCGCACCAGGGTCGCAAACGGCTACCCGTACCCGGCCGGGTACGGGTAGCCGGGTATCGGGTAGGCTACGGGTATCGGGTACCCGATTGCGACCTCTGCCTGAGACTCTATCCTGGTCTTGTGAGGTCTCACCTCCCTCAACAAATCGATTATTTAAAATGAAATGGTGACCACAAATTGTGATAATCGAATCGCGGGGGGTGCTCAGAGCTTAAGTCGCTGTGAATGGCAAAGTGAATGATGTAGGCGGGTACATTTCCTCGTCTGGCACTGCTTTGTGTTCTCACTGGTAAGTGCTTTGTAGATATTTTGATTGAAAAAAAAGATTTTAAAAAATTATCCAGGGCAAAGAACGCGGTAATGAATCAGCATTATACAGGGTCACGCTAACCGAGGTCTGCCTGTATATATAATATATGCAGTGTTCCCTCATTATTCGCGAGGGATACAGATACGTTCCGGAGATCCTTGGGAATAGCAAATTTCGCGAATAAAGATATTGGCCTATGAAAATCTATCTTTGTAATGACTTACCTTGAATAACACGAAAATATTCAATTGGTTTTAATAACCATAGTAAATAAACATAAATATTAAAGTTTTAAATAATCTCCATACATATAAAAGGCAAAGTTGTGATTATGTGTGTCTGTTCAAGATGTTTAGCGTACTTCCCGACATGCAACAAAATTGAAATTTGCCATGTGGGTACTTTCCAGACTGTACACCATGCACAAATTATTAAAATTACACTTTTGTGGGGTTTTTTTTTTGGAGGGGGGGAGCTCAATAATGCATATATTGTTTGCACGGCAAGTGAGCTGTGACGTCAAATCTGTCATGTGACCCGCGGAAGCGTAACGCATTGTCGTGTAGTGGTTAGCGCACTGCGCTACGAACCAGTCCACCCGAGTTCGATTCCCGCTCACAGCCACCACCGGTGACGATTATTTTAACCGCTCCTGGCTGGGCCTCCCCTAGGTCCACTCAGCCTCAAACGAGTAACTGGTGCGGTGTGTGAACATCGCCACTGGGGAGACAAAGGCGGGCCGGGCGTGGTGAATCCAAGTCCCGGGCGTAGCAGGGTAGTAAAGCTAGTAGTTTACAAATGAACTCACCTTAAATTATGATGCTGCACATGATTTTATCTCATCATTTTATCTCATCACTTTCTTTCTCTCGCTCGATGCAGTCAAGTAAAGTTCCAGATGCGATTCGCGAATAGCCAAAATCGCGGATAACAAGTTCGCGAATAACGAGGGAATACTGTATACAGCAAGTATTGAAATGTATATGGGCAATGTAAGCATTGTATCAATTTGTTTTACATTTCAGCATGAAGTTACCAGTTTGCAACATAAAAAACAACTCAGTTGAATACAAATGAAGACTGTGCCTGAACATTTTATAAATGAGGAAACAAGGGTTTATTTTAATATGAAATCTTAACTAGATAGAAATGCATGAATATTCATATTACCATACTGTTGGTGCACAATACAAATGCAAGGAGTTGGCCAAACATTTAGTGCTGGGGAGGCCCTCAGGTTAAATAAGTTATGTTTTCATGCCATTAGCTCCACCACCTCTTACCATCCCATTCAGATCCAGAAAGAGTTACCCAGTTGACACCTGAACTTCGAGATCTGCTCTTACAGCCTCATCCCAATTATGGTGTTTTGCAGACGGCCCCACTAATATTAGGTGGGGCACACATATGTGCCCCCTGTTTACTGTGATAGAACCACCACTACCAATACTAATGTACATCTATATAGAGCATGTGTTGTAAAACGCATCAACACTATCAGTGAAAATGTACATGAAAGGTACAAGGCCAATGAGGAACCATGCACTTCCAAAGCCAATCATGAAAAATGTCACCAAATGGCCTTCCTAGGTCAAGCATATTTTAAAAACTTCAGAAAAAAGTTTAAACTTAGAAGGCCAATGACAATAAACATCTTTACAACTGGAATAATAATGTCTCTCGTGTGTGTGCGTGTTAGTGCATGGTGTAATATTGACATACGTGCGCCGGTTATACGATATGGACTGGGATAGAACTCAGTGGGTAAAGATTCAAATCCCCGAAAGTTACATTCAGGTGTTCTGATCCCAACTGTGGTATCGAAGGACACAAGTGTCCCTTCCAAATAGGCAGAATGAGTAACACCTGGATTAGGCATCACAAGTGGATGTCGTGCGAAAGGCAAGACTGGCCCACATCATAAAAGTGTGGAACTCACACCACCAGCTCAGGATCAAGAAATGGAATGACCACCACAGAGCTATGCACACCAGTCAATAAGCTATTCACAACCACACACACACATTAACAACACCCTTATGCACATCTACGGCAAGAGGTTAGAAACTACTGTTTCTAATCTCTTGCAACCACACACAGATGGAGACCAAAATGCTAATTGGTGGGGACCTTACCATGGTGCTTGTGCCAGGCTAGGTGCATTTTGAGGTAACACGAATTTGGTAAATTAACGGACTGTTAGAGCAAGTGTTGTCAGCTAGCACCTATGAAGGCTGGGACGGAACACGAGGGCGTGCGTGGGTGGTCAACACCACGCTCGGCCGCCTTTGTCTCCCAAGTGCTGATGTTTACACACCGCGCCAGGTACTCATTTAAGGCTGAGTCTACCTAGGAGAGGCCCAAGTCCGGTTAAAATATTTAACACTGATATTGGGGATGAACGGATTTTGTAGCAGTGCGCTCACCAGTGCGCCAGTTCTCCACGATCCGTACACAAAGACAAAGATCCCCCGTGTAGCCTGAACAGAATATTGGGGCAAGTGCTGTAACGACACACGAGGGGGTGGGTGGCCAGCAACCACGCCCGACCGCCTTTGTCTCCCACACACATTGAGGCTGAGTCGACCTCGGGGAGGCCCATAACCGGTTCAGAAAATCGTCACCACTGGTGTTGGTGGCCGTAGCGCAGCGCGCTCACCGCTACTACACCACCAATCGACACCACCAATCGACACCACCACCACGGAAACTATCGCTCCCCATATCCCAATAATGACACGAAAGAAGGCAACAACTCCACAGACACACCACCACCCCTCCTCCTCCCTCCTCACCTTCACTCCGTTTCCCAGCACAGCCCAATGCCAGCATCAATAAGAGACACGTCAGCGCTGCCTCCCGCATATCCATGTCGAACCCAGATCTTCAGACTCTAGGGCGCACACACACACCAAATTAAATACACAGCATAGAAATGCCTAAGTACACATACAACCAAAAACAAAGACACGTTGATATGCATACACGAATACATTGGCACGAATGAAAAAGCACATACATACTGACACACGCTAACACAATGACATACCAACACATACACAGTGGTCGCAGCGGCTATTCGCCACCAGGTGATGGTGATTTCACCACACCGATGACGGTGCCCTAGGAGAAGTTGCCCCCCTTCAGACGAAGATCCTCCACGTAGTCTGCGAGCACCTATGAAGGCCGCTTCGGCATACGACGGGGTGGTGTGGCCAAGACTACGCCCGGCCGCCTTTGTCTCTCCAATGACAGGTACTCGTTTAAGGCCGAGTCGACCTAAGGGAGGCCCAGGACCGTGAGCAAATTTTTTTTAACTCGGGGTCGCCGGGTTCGTAGCGCGGCGCACTGACCACTACACAACCGCTCCTCACTCAATGACACTGACACGCACACAAAGATGACCGTATAGACGTACAGACTGTTGGGGAATGGTGTGGTTAGCGAGCACCTATTATGGTCAGCACACGACCACACAAGCGCACACCCTGAAACTCGCACTTCCCGCTCCTCTGAACCTCACCTCCAAACTCGCCCCGGTCTAGAAACCGCAGTCCAGCAGAGTTCAGCTCGTCATGAAGACCCGTACGTCCACTGACACGGGCACAACAGGCGGCAAGACCAGGTAATGGCGCCTGATGGAACTCTGGGGCTTAGAAACTCAACTGCGAGGGAGATCAAGTCCACGCGAACATGACAGCGAATGCCGCCGCCAACAGAGAAACCCAAGAACCCTAACCACGCCCCCCCCTCTCCCAGAGAAATCCAAGAACCCTAACCACGCCCCCCCCTCTACCAGAGAAACCCAAGAACCCTAACCACGCCCCCCCCTCTCCCAGAGAAACCCAAGAACCCTAACCACGCCCCCCCCTCTACCAGAGAAACCCAAGAACCCTAACCACGCCCCCCCCTCTCCCAGAGAAATCCAAGAACCCTAACCACGCCCCCCCCTCTACCAGAGAAACCCAAGAACCCTAACCACGCCCCCCCCTCTCCGAGAAACCCAAGAACCCTAACCACGCCCCCCCCCTCTACCAGAGAAATCCAAGAACCCTAACCACGCCCCCCCCTCTACCAGAGAAACCCAAGAACCCTAACCACGCCCCCCCCTCTCCCAGAGAAACCCAAGAACCCTAACCACCCCCCTCTCTCTACCAGAGAAACCCAAGAACCCTAACCACGCCCCCCCCTCTACCAGAGAAATCCAAGAACCCTAACCACGCCCCCCCCTCTACCAGAGAAACCCAAGAACCCTAACCACGCCCCCCCCCTCTCCCAGAGAAACCCAAGAACCCTAACCACCCCCCCCTCTCTCTACCAGAGAAACCCAAGAACCCTAACCACGCCCTCCCCTCTCCCAGAGAAACCCAAGAACCCTAACCACCCCCCCTCTCTCTCCCAGAGAAATCCAAGAACCCTAACCCCGCCCCCCCCTCTCCCAGAGAAAACCCAAGAACCCTAACCACACCCCCCTCTCTCTACCAGAGAAACCCAAGAACCCTAACCACGCCCTCCCTCTCTACCAGAGAAACCCAAGAACCCCTAACCACGCCCCCCTCTCTACCAGAGAAACCCAAGAACCCTAACCACGCCCCCTCTCTCCCAGAGAAACCCAAGAACCCTAACCACGCCCCCTCTCTCTACCAGAGAAACCCAAGAACCCTAACCACGCCCTCCCTCTCTACCAGAGAAACCCAAGAACCCTAACCACGCCCCCCCTCTCTACCAGAGAAACCCAAGAACCCTAACCACGCCCCCCCCTCTACCAGAGAAACCCAAGAACCCTAACCACGCCCTCCCTCTCTACCAGAGAAACCCAAGAACCCTAACCACGCCCCCCTCTCTACCAGAGAAACCAAGAACCCTAACCACGCCCCCCTCTCTACCAGAGAAACCCAAGAACCCTAACCACGCCCCCTCTCTACCAGAGAAACCCAAGAACCCTAACCACGCCCCCCTCTCTACCAGAGAAACCCAAGAACCCTAACCACGCCCCCCTCTCTACCAGAGAAACCCAAGAACCCTAACCACGCCCCCCCTCTCTACCAGAGAAACCCAAGAACCCTAACCACGCCCCCCTCTCTACCAGAGAAACCCAAGAACCCTAACCACGCCCCCTCTCTACCAGAGAAACCCAAGAACCCTAACCACGCCCCCCTCTCTACCAGAGAAACCCAAGAACCCTAACCACGCCCCCTCTCTACCAGAGAAAACCCAAGAACCCTAACCACGCCCCCCTCTCTACCAGAGGAACCCAAGAACCCTAACCACGCCCCCCCTCTACCAGAGAAACCCAAGAACCCTAACCACCCCCCCCTCTAACAGAGAAACCCAAGAACCCTAACCACGCCCCCCCTCTCTACCCAGAGAAACTCAAGAACCCTAACCACGCCCCCCTCTCTACCAGAGAAACCCAAGAACCCTAACCACGCCCCCTCTCTACCAGAGGAAACCCAAGAACCCTAACCACCCCCCTCTCTACCAGAGAAACCCAAGAACCCTAACCACCCCCCCCCTCTACCAGAGAAACCCAAGAACCCTAACCACGCCCCCCTCCTCTACCAGAGAAACCAAGAAACCCTAACCACGCCCCCCTCTAACCAGAGAACCCAAGAACCCTAACCACGACCCCCCTCTCTACCAGAGAAACCAAGAACCCTAACCACCCCCCCCTCTCTACCAGAGGAAACCCAAGAACCCTAACCACGCCCCTCCCTCTACCAGAGAAACCCAAGAACCCTAACCACGCCCCCCCCCTCTCCCAGAGAAACCCAAGAACTCTAACCACGCCCCCTCTCTCTACCAGAGAAACCCAAGAACCCTAACCACGCCCTCCCTCTCTACCAGAGAAACCCAAGAACCCTAACCACGCCCCCCCTCTCCCAGAGAAATCCAAGAACCCTAACCACGCCCCCCCCTCTACCAGAGAAACCCAAGAACCCTAACCACGCCCTCCCTCTCTACCAGAGAAACCCAAGAACCCTAACCACGCCCCCCTCTCTACCAGAGAAACCCAAGAACCCTAACCACGCCCCCCCCCCCCTCTACCAGAGAAACCCAAGAACCCTAACCACGCCCCCTCTCTACCAGAGAAACCCAAGAACCCTAACCACGCCCCCCTCTCTACCAGAGAAACCCAAGAACCCTAACCACGCCCCCCTCTCTACCAGAGAAACCCAAGAACCCTAACCACGCCCCTCCCTCTACCAGAGAAACCCAAGAACCCCAACCACGCCCCCTCTCTACCAGAGAAACTCAAGAACCCTAACCACGCCCCCCCCCCTCTACCAGAGAAACCCAAGAACCCTAACCACGCCCACTTCTCTAGCAGAGAAACCCAAGAACCCTAACCACGCCCCCCTCTCTACCAGAGAAACCCAAGAACCCTAACCACGCCCCCCTCTCTACCAGAGAAACCCAAGAACCCTAACCACGCCCCCCCCCTCTACCAGAGAAACCCAAGAACCCTAACCACGCCCCTCCCTCTACCAGAGAAACCCAAGAACCCTAACCACGCCCCCTCTCTACCAGAGAAACCCAAGAACCCTAACCACGCCCCCTCTCTACCAGAGAAACCCAAGAACCCTAACCACGCCCCCTCTCTACCAGAGAAACCCAAGAACCCTAACCACGCCCCCCTCTCTACCAGAGAAACCCAAGAACCCTAACCACGCCCCCTCTCTACCAGAGAAACCCAAGAACCCTAACCACGCCCCCTCTCTACCAGAGAAATCCAAGAACCCTAACCACGCCCCCCCTCTCTAGCAGAGAAACCCAAGAACCCTAACCACGCCCCCTCTCTACCAGAGAAACCCAAGAACCCTAACCACGCCCCCTCTCTACCAGAGAAACCAAGAACCCTAACCACGCCCCCCCTCTCTAGCAGAGAAACCCAAGAACCCTAACCACCCCCCTTCTCTACCAGAGAAACCCAAGAACCCTAACCACGCCCCCCTCTCTACCAGAGAAACCCAAGAACCCTAACCACGCCCTCTCTCTACCAGAGAAACCCAAGAACCTTAACCACCCCCCTTCTCTACCAGAGAAACCCAAGAACCCTAACCACGCCCCCCCCCTCTACCAGAGAAACCCAAGAACCCTAACCACGCCCCCCTCTCTACCAGAGAAACCCAAGAACCCTAACCACGCCCCCCCCCCTCTACCAGAGAAACCCAAGAACCCTAACCACGCCCCCCCTCTACCAGAGAAACCCAAGAACCCTAACCACGCCCCCCCCCCTCTACCAGAGAAACCCAAGAACCCTAACCACCCCCCTTTCTCTACCAGAGAAACCCAAGAACCCTAACCACGCCCCCCTTTACCAGAGAAACCCAAGAACCCTAACCACGCCCCCTCTCTACCAGAGAAACCCAAGAACCCTAACCACGCCCCCCTCTCTCTACCAGAGAAACCCAAGAACCCTAACCACGCCCACTTCTCTACCAGAGAAACCCAAGAACCCTAACCACGCCCACTTCTCTACCAGAGAAACCCAAGAACCCTAACCACGCCCCCTCTCTACCAGAGAAACTCAAGAACCCTGACCACCCACACATCTTCAGTGGCACCACCGTGCTTTTGGGGACGTGTTTCGTGCTTTGTACAGTCGGAAACGCGTTTCTCTCAAGATGCTGTCACGCAAAGGCAATGAGCGTCATGAGGAAGTGAGAGGCACTGTGATTGGTTAAAGGGGGAGTTTTTAGGGCCTTCGTGTGCCACAAGCTAAGAATAAAATTCAGACTCTTTGGTTCTTTCGGTGAAGTCACGTAGGTAAAAATAAAATAAATCCACACAATCTTCATCAGGTATTTTATTTTTACCTACGTGACCTCACCGAAAGAACCAAAAAGTATGGATTCCTGCAGTCACGAAAGCTTCAAATCAAGAATAAAATTCAGTGTTGACATCCACCTCTCATCGTTCCCGTTGTTGATGATCGTCTTGCACCGACAATAAAACACCGTTACACAACGCTCACCGATTGTGAATTGAGGCTCAAGAGAGACAAGTTAAACAACTCGGAGAGTGGAGCAGCAAGGAGAGTGGAGTAGAAAAGTTCTATAATAAGGATTAATAAAGACATCAACACGACAGTGCTCGTGTAAATGTCTCCACGTTGCCCGTGCTTCGGTTGTGCCCACTCACAACACTATATCTGCATGTAGCTGTGTTTCACGTCTGCTTACAAACTCATGAACTTTATTTTCACATTGGCATCAGCTTAAATATACAATATTACAGTACATATTTTAAATGCATGCATATTGTATTGCGTTGTGGCCCAGGTTATTTTGTAAAATATCATTTTGGTTTAAATTCGCCCTCACTTGGATTAAATAGTGTAGAAGGAATGTTTATGTAAAAGCTGTGCTGAGATGAAAGTTCACAAATTATTCAGGCACCACTTACGTTTGCAGCAGTGAATACTATACAGTATGAAAAAACAATGCGATTAAACCAGAGTTCCTCTACCCCACCGCCCACACAAATGCCCCATTATCACAAATATCTACAACCTCTGCTAATATATCAGCTTCAACAAACGTTTCTCCAAAAGCCGACTTGTAAACCGCTCGAAGCACGTGTTACATTGGCAGGTGTGTCTGGACCTCGTCTAATGTTTACGAGCACTTTCTTGCCGCAACCCTTATTCCACAATCTCCAGGCTGTGTTCCAAGATGGTATTCATTCCCTGGAACCGAAAGAAGCCGCTGAACTTCTGTTTCTTGAGCAACATCGGAAACCAGAGGTGGTCGTCGGGCCACATCTCCGAGAAGGGAACCTTGTCCAGGTCAAACCACTGAGGGCGCATTTCTGATGGAAGAAATGGGGGTGCAGTACAAGTGTCACACAGGGAAGCAACTTCAAGGTGTTCACTGATAACAGGTGCTGGAGTCGCTGTGTTGCGGCGATTGATATTATTGCGGCGATTTATATGATTGCGTTTTCAAGTGATGCAAGTGGAAGGAAAGAGAACCAAGAGGAAGGCAGAAATGGAGGTGGTGCGATGCGGTGCGATCGGACATGAAATGGCGCATGACAGGGCAGTGTGGAGAAGATTGGCAAAGGCAGCGGACCTCACATGAGTGGGACAAACGCGTGGAAGAAGAATAAGATGTTACTTTGTTCCACGAGACTGCCCAGTGACTCACCATCTGACTCGCTGGGCTCCCCGGTGAAGGCGTCAGCCCGGAACACGTGCACCTCCATCAACTCAGGTTCCCCAACGAATTCGAACGTCAGTGTGCCGGCCTCAATGAGCTCCTGAGCCGTGATGGAGCACTCCTCCCAGAGCTCCCTGCAAAAGCACACACCTCCACTCTCAACTATTCGCACACCTCCACACTCACCTCTTCACATAGCTCCTCACACCCTCTGATGCAACTCACCCCCACACTCACCTCATTCTCCACCCTCTTCACCACACACGCCAACCCTCACACGCATTGTCACTTGAGACAGATCCACCTGATACCCTTCCATACATTCTGCAAGTCATTAGACACCTCAAAACACCTTACACCTCAACACGCGCTTCTCCAATTATATATTTCTGCAATTTTAACGTACAGTACTATAGTATTTTTTAAACATTAAATAACTAATTACGTACGTTAACATGACTGTTAAATTACAAATGACTGTCACCTCCCTGCCCGCACACGTGTTTATGAATGACAAATAATCTTTGCTTGCTGACCTCTCGTCTCACGAGTTAGGCACATGCATGTTTAGTTGTGTGCGTTTCGAGTCAAGCGCCCCCCCCCCACACCAACTTGACTATAATCTGGAGACAACGTTTAGCGTTGGGAATTATACAACTACTGAGCTGTGTGATGGCAAGTGCCAGTGGTTATGCTTGGCACAGGTCACATCCGCCCAAACAATCCCTGCGCCAACCCACCAATATCATCCCACCTATCTCCCTCATCCTTTTCCCTTTTACACAGATCTCCCCCTATCTCCCTCATCCTTGTACATAGATCTCCCCCCCTGCTGCTACTCCAGCCCACCCACCCGCCCGTACCGCTTGGCCGCCTCCCGCACGCTCTCTCCCGGCTGCACCTTCCCCCCGAACCCGTTCCAGCGCCCAGCGCCGAACCCGCGCTTCTTCATCCCGAGCAGCACCCGCGGAGGACTCAGCACCAGCACCAGCGTGAAGAGCCGGCGCGACATCGCACGGCCACCCCACAAAATCCGCACCCGTCGGGCACCCGCACCACCCTCCACCCACGTGGCGCCAAGCGGAATGAATGAACTCGCGTGACCCGGATACGGCCACTTCCGGCGCGGCGAGGCGTGTCGATTGCGCAACGAGGCCATGGCCCTCGGCTTCCCCGCGTGTCTCCCGCGCCGCGTGGAGTCTCTGTGCAGGGCGCACGGGGCCCTGCGCGGCCCCACGCCGCGCCGGGCCCTGCACGCCCCGAGCCCGGCCCCCCGGGCGCGCTCGGGGGCCGCGCAGATTTGGCTGCAGAGGCAGCGACGCGACCCGTTCGTGCGGCGCGCACAGGAGCTGGGGCTGCGATGCCGCAGCGGGTTCAAGCTGGCGCACATGGACGAGCAGCTGCGCTGGCTGCAGCCCGGCAGAGCCGTGCTCGACCTGGGGGCTGCGCCGGGTGCCTGGAGCCAGGAGGCTGCGCGCAGGGTGAACGCGACCGGGGTCCTCCTGCCCGGTGCCCCGCGGGGGTTCGTGCTGGGCCTGGACCTGCTGCCCGTGGAGCCGCTCGACGGAGTCTCGTTCCTGGGCGGCACCGACGTGCGCGCCGCAGACACCGAGACGAAGGTTCGCGCCCTGCTCCCGGGCGGCGCGGCGCACGTGGTGCTGAGCGACTTGGCGCCCCGGGCGAGCGGAGTGCGCGCCCTGGACCACGAGCAGAGCCTGGCGCTGTGCAGGGCCGCCTTGGCGCTCGCCATCGTCATGCCTGCGGCCAGGGGGCCACTTCCTCTGTAAATTGTGGGACGGCGCGAGCAGCGAGGAGCTCCGTGGCCGGCTCCGTGCCGCTTTCCGCGAGGTGCGGGCACTGAAGCCGCCCGCGAGTCGCCGCGACTCGGCCGAGTTCTACCTGGCGGCCAGCGGCCTCAGGGCGCCAAGACGCCCGTGACCCTCTCGGCCCTCTTGGGATTCGAGTCAAATGAAATCGGCTGTGGATCCGTGGGGGTTATGTCAACTCGCTTTGCCAGGGATATCATTGCCGTTTGGTTAAGTTGTGGCCATGCGAAAGTGTAATGGGTTTTGATGCGCTGCAGACAACCGTGCACGTGGCCAAACGCACGTGGCCAAACGCTGCAGATGCCCTCAATTTAGCAACGTGCCCTGACACAAGGTAGTGGGTGTATTGGCATAAATACTGTGCAATTTCTCGTCGTGTGGATAAATAAATGCTTTATTTGTATCTCATGTGGGTGTATATATGCCTCATTTTCTTAAACAACATTCGTGTTTTAACGGTATCGAGCAATAATGTCACTTCAACGCGTTCTTAATAAAATGTTGACAAGCGTTCTCAAATTCCGAACAGGTATAGAAGCAGCAGTGCTCACTCAACCCGCCAAGAATTAACGCGTGAACAATCGCCCCGTCGTGAATTAACACGAACAATCACTCCCTTGAATTAACAGGTAAGACAATTGGACCATCACGTGAACAATAATTATTGCCCCGTCGTGAATTAACGTGTGAATAATCGCCCTCTGCCATGAATTAACACGTGAACAATCGCCCCGTCGTGAATTAACACGTGGACCCCCCACTCCCCATCAGTACGTGAACAACCCATTCCCACGATGAACACTGTTGACTCCAACCCCACATGAGTGAACATATGAACACGTTGACTCCAACCCCACATGAATGAACACAACACGTTGACTCCAACCCCACATAAATGAACACCCATCACCGTCAACGTGCCTCTGCCTCCACACCACCAATATATGATCTTTATAGCGGTATCCCCGGGGTACCAAATAATACAGAATGGCCGAGGCAATTAAATACTTTATTTCTGGGACACTTTTTCCCAGGGGTGTAACTTCACTCCATGACTGGGCTACCACTCAATCCTAAATCGGTGCCACTCCGAACGCTCTCAGCACGTGGCACACCGTGTTAGTGCATCGTGAGCACAGCTCGTCGAGATGAGTCGATTGCCACATCGCCGACCATCAACACAGACTACAAATTACTGCATCACGGCAGAGGTCGCAACCGGGTACCCGATACCCGTACCCTACCCGACACCCGGCTACCCGTACCCGGCCGGGTACAGGTACCCATTTGCGACCCTGTTGCGGCCGGGTACGGGTACGGGTAGACCGTGAGTCACTGGTGAGTAACTGTTTGTCACTCATTTCCCAACGTCTTGTCTCTTCTCACAATTCAAGTTCCTAGAATCAACCCACCCCGCGCCTGCAACATGGCTTCATCCCAGAGGTCGCAATCGGGTACCCGTACCCTACCCGATACCCGGCCGGGTATGGGTAGCCGGGTATCGGGTAGGGTACGGGTATCGGGTACCCGATTGCGACCCTGGTGCGGCCGGGTACGGGTAGCCGGGTAGGGTACGGGTATCGGGTACCCGTTTGCGACCCTGGTGCCGCCGGGTAGCCGGGTATCGGGTAGGGCACGGGTATTGGGTACCCGATTGCGACCCTGGTGCGGCCGGGTAGCCGGGTATCGGGTAGGGTACGGGTATCGGGTACCCGGTTGCGACCCTGGTGCGGCCGGGTACGGGTAAGGAATCAAAACCCGTTTGCGACCTCTGCATCACGGACATTGTGCAAGAGCCGGGGTTACTATGCTGCCACGAGGTTCAATTGTCGCCCCCTCTCCACTCCCTTCCCGGTCTCCGGTGTCGATGAACACGCAGGGAGACAGCGCCGCCAAGCGGGACCACGTCGCCGGCAACTTGTGACCCCCCTCGTCTCTCCCTCACCACCACCACCACCCCCATCACCCCCCTTCTCTCTCTCGGGGCTATAAACTCTCCACTCCTCTGTCGGGGCCATGACTCCGAGCGACTCTCCGCTTCTCGGCTGCCCTTGCTGCCGAGATTCATGGAGGCAGTAGAGGTGAGGACGGTGGCGGAGGTAGCGGGGGGTGGGTGGTGAGGCCGGGGACGTGATCGTGAGGCCGGGGAGGTGAGGTTGAGGAGGAGGTGAGGGTGAGGAGGAGGGTGAATCGTCGGATAATATCTGGCGATGGCCTTTGAACGTGAGGGCGATGAAGGCGAGTTGACGGTGGGGACGGGGGGAGGAGGAGGCCGTAAGCACGCGGACCTCCCTAGGCCCAGTGCAGGCAGAGAGGACATCATCCCTTGCCCGGGAGAGAGAGGGGGGGGGGGGGGAGAGACCTTCACCTGCTGATGCTGCTGTCTCTGCTGCTGCTACTACTGCTCTGCTGCTCCTGCTGCTACTGCTGCTACTACTGCTGTCTCTGCTGCTGCTACTACTACTGCTGCTGTTACTGCTGCTACTGCTGCTGTTACTGCTGCTACTGCTGCTCCTGCTGCTACTACTGCTGCTGTTACTGCTGGTGCTACTGCTGCTGCTGCTCCTGCTGCTACTACTGCTGCTGCTCCTGCTGCTCTTGCTGCTACTACTGCTACTACTACTGCTGCTACTACTGCTGCACTACTACTGCTGCTACTGCTGCTGCTCCTGCTGCTACTGCTGCTACTACTACTGCTGCTACTGCTGCTGCTGCTACTACTGCTACTACTACTGCTGCTACTGCTGCTGCTGCTACTGCTGCTACTACTCTGCTACTACTGCTGCTACTACTGCTGCTACTGCTGCTGCTGCTACTACACTACTGCTACTACTGCTGCTGCTACTGCTGCGCTCCTGCTGCTGCTGCTCCTGCTGCTACTGCTACTACTACTACTACTGCTGCTCCTGCTGCTCTTGCTGCTACTACTGCTACTACTGCTGCTACTACTACTGCTGCTACTGCTGCTGCTGCTACTACTGCTGCTGCCTCTGCTGCTACTGCTGCTGCTCCTACTGCCTCTGCTGCTACTACCGCTGTCTCTGCTGCTACTACTGCTGATGTCTCTGCTGCTGCTACTGCTGATGTCTCTGCTGCAACTGCTGCTGCTGTCTCTGCTGCTGCTGATATCTCGCCCTGCTGCTGCTGCCTCTGATGGTTCCCCTCTTGCTCGTAGACGCGCTCTGCGCTGCTGCTACTGCTGCTGCTACTACTGCTGCCTCTGCTGTCTCTGCTACTACTATTGCTGCTACTGATATCTCTGCTGCTGCTGCATCTGCTGCAACTGCTGCTGCTGATGTCTCTGCTGCTGCTGCTGATATCTCGCCCTGCTGCTGCTGCCTCTGATGGTGCCCCTCTTGTTCGTAGACGCGCTCTGCGCTGCGCGCCTTCCTGTGCGGGGCGCTGAGCGGGTCGTGCTCCACGCTGCTGCTCCAGCCCCTGGACCTGGTGAAGACGCGGCTCCAGCTGCTAAGAGCCGCCAGCCCCCCACGGTGCGACCCCGACAACAACAACAACAACAGCAACAACAACAGCAGCAACAACAACAGCGGTCATCTGGGACCCCGTCAAAACAATTTACCCCTAAAGCCGTGAACCTCGCCGATCTCGTGCACCACCAGGGCCGGTGGAGCTACTTGTGCCACCCGTGACATTATCGATTACGGTCGGCAGCCACACGAGGCCGACTACCTAACAAATAACAAGAGATAGGCTGGCAATGTGCACGTAGAATACAAATAAAAGCTGTTCTTACAGAAGCCGTCTGCCCAACGTCCTTGTGGGACTGCGTAATTTCAGCAACATTGCTTCAGTACAAACCACACTGGTTTTGAAACACGCTGTCTCATCAGCGTCTCATCGTCTGTGAATGCATCTCACTCACACTAATCGGGTACTAGAGGGGAATGTCTTCGACACGACGACACTTTATCACTACAGTATTAGCGCGCTCCTGTCACTTTTGGCATTGAAAGTTGCATTTTGGATGTAACGGGGCTGAAGTGTGGATGTTAATGTGTAATCCGCTAAAGTTATTTGGCAGTCCTATTTTACCCTCAATGATGAAAATGTTCCCCACTCCTGCCATAAGCCTAATGCCTTAATATCCCTAAAACGAGTCTACCCTCACTTTTCTACCCCTAAACTTTTAAACACATTTACCCCTTCCTCACACATGCAGGCATGGAGCATTTGAGTCCTGATACTTCGAGGCCATATGGAGCCTGGAATGAGCTGGTTGGATTAGGGGGCCAGGAAATGGACTCAAAAAAGATGATTAACCGGGAGCGAAACTTGGAATGTTGGAAGGATAGCATTAACGCCCATTAGCCGCATGTATATTATTTGATTTTAGGGGTCTTCTTTGTCCCCCCTCTCCTATCCCTCCCTTGTCCTATGTTTCCCTCATTTGGTTGGTTATATTCCCCCTCCCTTGTTATCCCCTCCCAATTTAACGTTCCATCTTCTCCCCATGTGGTGTCCTCGCTTGGTGGGGGTAATGGACCCCTTTCCCCACCTTTTACCTCCCTTCCCCTTTATATGGTTCAGTTGCATCGGCACTGTCCTTCATGAATTGTGACAACCCCGTTATGCAAGCTATGTGTTCTGTATTGGTTCGCGTTTTGTTACAAAAAAACACATTTACCCCTTAAACTCATCTACCTGTAGTCCCATAAACCCAAAGTCTGAAATCCATAAAATCCATATACTTTTAAGCCAATTTAGCCTTTAACCCCAACTAGCCATACATACACTAATTATAAAAACGCGTTTATGCCTAAACTCTTCCACCAAACGGGTCTCGAGGCCAGTGATCAATTACGCAACTAACTGCTTTGACCACATTTGAGCAAGTAGTTGCAAATCAAGGTTTCTGTGTTGAGAAGTGTGTAAAGCATTTTCTGGTATTTGGAGTGACCGATTCCTTTGGTGCTGTCAGTTTCGTTAAATTATGGCTTCATTTATTACCGATGGTATTGAAATGCCTGCTGAATGCATTCTATTGGTCAACATTTCTTAATTTACTGCCTCTAAAAAAATAAACAAGATATTCAAGATTCTGACAACCAATCATTGTTCGCAAATGTGCACGTGGTGAAATAATCACTTTGCTGGTCGTGACGCTTAATAGTAAGTCTACTAAGTTTAAGACAACACAGCAATGTACAAAACACACTCGGCCTTATGCATTGTGCAAAAAACTGCATCGTGGTCCTATTTACTTAGGTGACCATCAATAAATTTGAGCAAGTGAGACAGACAACCGCACACCAGTTTTTTTCTTAGCAGGACTTATAAGTATAATCACCAATGCTCACTGCTGCAAAGCCTACTGTAAGAAACCACTTACGGAACTGCTCACAACACATTGCAGAGACGCCAACATATAAGCGATTCATTTACATGCGACTCAGGTGTGGACCCAGCTTCCATGTGGCCTATGTCGCCCCTTTTATTGCTAGGTCCCCGAGGGTGCGGATGTTGTCCGTGCTGACCCATGTGGTGCGTACGGAGAGCGTGCGTGGCCTCTGGAAGGGACTTGGCCCTGTGAGTCTGCAGGTCCCCGTGGAGTGGACACAAGTATTTGACAACCGCGCACGCATCTGTTTAAAGAGGTTACCGTGGCACAGTCATTGTTCTGTCGCTACGATTCTACCTGCGCTACAAATGCCTGTTTCCTTGTCCGTGTCACTTGCAGTCTCTCGTGCGCTGCGTACCTGGCGTTGGCATCTACTTCTGCACCCTGCACTCACTCGAAGAGAGTTTCTTCAGGTAATATTGCCTTAAAAGGAAAAATAATACATCATGTGACATTTCGAGCAATGGCCCTTCATAGTACGTAAGAAAAATATTCACCTCATATAAAATTTTATATTTGCTATGAAGGGCCATTTCCAAAAACGTTGCTTTTGTTTTTCCTTTTTGGGTAGTGTAATTTCTGAATAACGTTCGTTTTTTTGTGATTTAGCACTGCTAACACAATATGACCAAATAAGCTCCGAAGGCGAGTGCTGGTCCTATTGGCGACGTGGCTATACATGGGGCCTGAGCTTGTATTTGGGCGCGTTGATACTAAGTGAATTGCACTTAATGGACTAAAGTCTCAGATGAGCCAGCGTGATGAGAACAAGCATCGGGGCCGATGGCTCCGAGTAGCTTGCGGTGCCCGATCTCATTAACGGGTTTGTTGTTGCTCCGTAGAGATAGTGAGTGACGTCACTGGGTCCTGTGCCGTGGGGATGCAGGGATCGTGCTCCATCCGCCCTGGACTCGCTCCTGCTGGGGCTGTCGGCAAGGACCGTATCTGCAGTGTGCATGCTGCCCGTCACTGTTGTGAAAACACGATATGAGGTACAATCACCACCTCGGATAATTTTGCACCCGCTAACACCGTGAGCTTTTGCTAAATGTTGTGTTTTTCCAAGGCAGAGTGGCCGCTTCAAGTACAGGAGTGTGCTCGGAGCACTGAGCAGCATCCGTAAGACGGAAGGCATCCGCGCCCTCTTTAGCGGCTTGACGGCAACGCTCGCTCGCGATGCGCCCTTCTCGGGGATCTACGTCATGATCTACACTCAGGCCAAGCACATGCTGCTACACGGTACAAAAGCCTTCTTATCACCAGCATCTCCACACTTGGGGTTCTGTTGGGTTTTCAAAGAAATGAGTCCTCACCTCGTGTGACCTCCATTAATGGTTGGAAAATTGCACTGGCCGGTCTGGTTGCATCGGGCTCTGTGAAGGCAGGGGTTGCAGAGTGGTGCTTTTACCACGCCAACTGTGTAGCCACGATTCCTGCATCGGGTGCCGACTGCATCTTGTGTCCTGCAGGAGTGGAGAGGGAGGGCCAGGTGCCGACGCGGTTTGCGTGCGGGGTGCTGGCTGGAGTGGTAGCATCTCTCGTCACGCAACCAGCCGATACCATCAAAACCTACATGCAAATGGAGCCTCACAGATTTTCCCACACAGGACAAACTTTTGTGGCCATCTGCAGAGTGAGTCCCTTTATACATGCACCCATAATGCTGAGCTCTACCTACAGGGATGTGTATTTCCTTCAGTGCACTTGGCAGAGCCCAATATTCACAGCCCCTCGGTATTGATAGCCACGGTCTCTGCGCTTTACTGCATTACCCAATGGAGACAGAGGCATCATAAGTTGCTGCCACCAAATTAATACAAAACAAGCCCAGCTCACTTTCCACATCCTCAACCAGTGTCCTTGGCCACAGGATGTAGCTGGGCTCCATAAGAACACTACTGCTCGTGCCGTTTACAGGACCTGACTGCCACCATGCGCATGCTGTGTGCGACTTCTGTCCCCATGTGCACAGAGCCATGGTCTGACAGGTCTCTTCCATGGCGCTGTGCCGCGATGTCTACGCCGCACACTGGTAACTGCCATGGCGTGGACAGTGTATGAAAGGATGATGGTGGGACTGGGCCTGAAGACGTGAAACCACCACCATGGCTGCAGCACACCGGACAGTGACTCTCACATGACAGTCTGACACGTGATACAAGTGCCTCTGACTAACAATGCCACATGAGATCAACACACATGACATAATACTGCTTCTCAGTCACACTGGCGTGTGGAGTCAAAGCAAGGAGTCTTACACGACCAAAGCGTTCGCCATTTGCACCAATTCCCACACAGGAATCCATGTAACCCAGGCGTCTCACGAGTACTCGCTTGAGTGGTGGTGCTGAACAGACCCACATGACCATGCCGCCACCGTGACAAATCAACCGGCATTTGAATTTGTTTGGAGATAACATTACAAAAGTCACAAGGACTTTGCCAAGCAAGAACGTTCTATATTACTTGGGTAACTTACTAGAACTTGATGCCATCTAGCACTAATCTCGACAGTGTGCAGTTGTGCCTTTTAAATAAAAGGGTCCAATAAGTATTTAAACAGCATGTGCGTAATGTTTACAGAAGATGTGATTATAAATACGCAAAAGGATGTTACATTAATGAATGTTTTACCGCTGCTGTACAGATTTCAATAAAGCTAATTTACCATGCATCTTTGCTGCCTTACAGAAGCAATGTGTATTTAGGGCTCAGTGTAGACTGGTGTTGCTTGGTTTCTACATTGAAAAGTTCGTGGAATTAAGATAAATTAGAGATGGTGTAATAACGTGAAGTGCTCTAATGTACATACATGTTCAAAGAGAAATCGTTATGTTTTTGAAGTCCAACTTTATTCCAATACATTTTATAACAAAAGATAAAGCACACGGTTTTCAGTCACTTGAGTGGAAGGCATTTCCTCAAGCGATCAAAACCTATGTGCAATAGTCGTGTTCACTTAGTCCACCACTTTACAAGAACAATCGTATATACAATGAAATGTGCTGACAAAAGTTAGAGAATTACAACAAAAGCAAGAAGATAGAGCAGCACACACACCCTTCAAGTCAAACCTTAACCTCTGCCACAACTGCGCGGAGTTGCTGCTCCAGCCCTTGCATCGCCATAGGTTGCTACTTCTCACGCTGTGATGGTGATTAAGGGCTGCAGCTACCTCTAGCATTGCTTTGGTGATGGGGGGGGGGGGGTACAGCAACTCATAGTACCACCGCTCTGCATTAACACTCACATGGCACTACGAGCAAGTGCAGTTGCAAAAGCACATACCTGCTGTGCAAGCTACAGACGTAGTGCCATTGGGACCCTTGCTATGCACCTGCTCTGTTGTCCACCATTGAAACAGAGAATTGAATTGGGCAGAGTAATCTCAAAGCTTTCTGGCAGCACTGGGGAATATTGTAAAAGTTCTGTCTGCTGTACAACACATTTTGAAAATAAAACCGCACGTTGCTTTATGTGGCTCAAAGGCCAAAGCAGCAAGCGTAGGCACCTCCGGCATGTTAAGATGCACAGAATCCAAAATCACTTTCTCAAGGCCATGATCATCATTGCCGGAAATCAGCACCGGCAATGGTTGCCGCAGCGTTACCCATTGTTAAAATATTGTTGCCCAAAATCTGATACTGATCTCAACTCCCCCTCGTGGGCAACTGGGACAGCAACTTCCAATTAGATCACAGAAAGCTCACAAGACTGACACACAATCTGCATTTTAAAAAATGGTGCCTTTAAGTCCCTGCACGAGTGAGCTGTGGATATGATGTGATGATGTAGTGTTGTGATGATGTGGAGAGATAGTGTGTTTGTGTGGAGAGATGGGGTGTGGCAGTCTGATGTGGAGTTGGTGGTGAAAAGATGTGTTATGAGAGGCATGATGGGCCCGAGTCATTTCAAGAGATTAAAGGCAAGACAGAACTCAATCACCCCATTCCATTTCCCACCAAATTTCCAGTCTCTCATGGTAAATGCATTGCAAGCAACGATTGCCTTTACAAAAATTCTCAAGTGGATCATGGCCTTGAACTCACTCCAACAATGTAATCTACTCTTGTATCGAGCGTACAGACGGATCCGCCTATATGTACGCGCATGCTGAGCAAATCCCTACATGAGACAATAAATACGCAGTAAATAGCTGGCAGCACGAGGCGCACACTTTAAAGGTTTGTGGCATAAGTGAACATTACAAATCCATCTGCTCTGTGCAGATTCTCGAATGGACTTCACAACTAAAGAACACAACTATAGGGGGACCAGTACTTGCAGAGGACACCGAATAAATTTAGAGGTGCGGATGGTAGTTTGTGTTGGGATATACAGCCTATGCTGAGGTAGGGTGTGCTGGGTGCCTGTGGTTGCTCCAGAGTTGCTATGGTACTGTGGTGGCAGGTTGCAGAGGTGGCATTGTAGGTCAAACGGTGATCTGCATGCCACCTGGTGGGGAGGCAGGCGTGGGTGGGGTTGGGCCCGCAAAGGGCAAATAGGAAGCTCTCTCCAACCTTTTGCTAGGCCTGCAGAGAGTACACACAGACAATTATTATTTAGGCAATTATGCATCATCCTCATGAAACACAGCCGGGAAACAGCCATTGAACATTCATGTCGTAGACGTACACTATTGCAAGTGTCTTAATGCATTTCCTGATCAATTGCACCATGTCGTATGAGCAAACAAAAAGTGCTTCACACCCGTTGTGCACACTTTCGGAAAGGAAAATGGCATGTGCAGCCTGAAGCCCTGCTACTCCTGGCTTCGTGGGCATTGAGATATGGATCGAATGCACGAGTTTCTCGTATGGGCGGTACGAGAGGGCGATTACGGACATATTGGGGTGTGCGGTCCTTCCTCACCCCATGTCGTGTCCGGGAGATGGAGGGCTTGGGCTGTGGGGGGTCCGAGACGTACCCGAGAGACTCCCGCTCACTTTTCCCAGCAACTGCTGGTCCCGCATGACATTCTTGCAAGAGGCAAGTTTACACTCCAGTGCCTGCAAAACCGCACGGACCCACTACAGCACCTTCCTTGAAGCATACACCCTCACCTCAGGACTTAAATATTTGAACATAACAGTGTTAATATATTTTACATTTATATCAGGCAATCAGCAAAACGAACATAAAAAGACAACGTGTTACTTACACTGACTTTCCTGAGCAGATCACCAACAATGTTGAGAGCAGAGATTCTGGCCGATGGGGTCAGTGGCGAACTTCCATAACCATTGGGCATTCCTGCAGCAGGGGTTCACACACATGACCCAGTCTATGACATACTGCCACAGGGGTTCACACATGTTCCATAGTCTATTACATACCTTCGGAGTTCATACATGTTACCCAGTCTATAGTTGCATGTTGGCCTCTTAAACACAATTACAAAGAGGCCACCCTGAAATGTGATGGCAGTGGGACGGAGGTACCTTTTGATCGTGGAGTGACAGGCATCTCGAAGGCGATGTCTCCAGGGACACGGGGGGTGGAAGGTGATGGCACGGATACTGGAGCTGGAGCAGGCAATGGAGCCGGTGATGGAGCCGGTGATGGAGCCACCTCTGCTGATGGCGAATTCGGTGCCGAGCGTCGCACCTGCTTCTGCTGCACCGCCAGCTCCTGGCGCAAGTCTACAGCCAGCACACACACACTTGCCTATCAACCACGTGTACACAACACCACCATTAGCCATTAAGTGGCAGGGCCGTTACCACAGCACTTGTACCAGGATGGGTGCACTTTGAGATCACATGAAGTGCTGAATGCTCGCTGGCAGGTCACAGAACAGGCCCAGGTATCACCAAGATAACAGGCAGATAGATGCACCACCTGTCGTGGCCACGACCACCCTGCTGTGTTTTAGCAGATCTCGACTGACTCTATAATTGCAACATCCAGTCAGCTGCCCAAGGGACTCGTGGGTTCATCAGATCTGTCGTGAAACTGGCCTTGCTTTCAACGTGGTGGCACATGGATACAGGTTAGTGCAAAGGGTTGATGCCACCTATGCATATATGATGATGATGATGTTAAAGCCATCCAGCACTTTGTTTATTGTTGTGAGCATTGCTCCTCCACTCTCCAGAGATACTGGTAGCTGCCCCTAACTGCCCAGTAGCATTTTTCATGAGCCCCCACCAGAGGTAAATCTTGACACCATTAGTATTAGTCAAAGGCAAGTCTACTCACCGCCAAGTCCATCTGTACCACATCAGCCCATCTCCCTTCTGGCTTGTGCTATATATGATTATGAGCGAGGCCTGTTTCCAAAGCAGAGCTGGCCAGGAACACAATGCCGAGTAACGAAAACTTCTCGAACTTCTCCATAACCACCCGACTGGTCTAGGAGAGTTGAGCGGGTGGAGTATCCACTTTTATAATGTGTCTCACAAATGTGTTAGTTAGGCTGATGGTACACATCAGAACACATACACCATGGAAAAACACCCAAACACCAATAAACCATACAAAGACACCATGCAATCACGAGACAAAAATCTCCGTATAGCCTGGAACAGACGGTTGGGGCAGGTGCTGTCAGCAAATGCCTACAAAGACCGGCACGGCACACGAGGTCCTGGGTGGCCAGCACCATGCCCGGCCAACTATGTCTCGCCAGTGGCAATGTTTACACACACGAGATATTCATTGAGACCAAGTCGACCTAGGGGAGACCCAGGAGCAGTTCAGATAACCGTCATGTAAATAAGCAAACAACATTTGCCACTGTCACCAGGCTATGTGCACTTTAAGGCCACACACACACACACAAACACGAGTCCCACAACATCAGTACTACACCACACCACAGGGATGTGTGGTGCACTTACCGCGAGCCTCGTCCTTAAGCCGCTGTACAGACTCGAGCAGGTTCTCTTTCTCGTCCACCTCGCTCTCCAGAAAGGCGTTGCGCTCAATCACCTCGTTCATTCGCTGCTCAAAGTCGTCCATGGAAACGAACGTTGCACTAAGAACCAGCAAAAAGCACAGCCACTCTTGTCAGTTTACGGGGCCATGATGGGTGCTCTGCATCATAAACCTCACCACTGTGCCTCGTGTGCTGTCACTGCACTGTGTAACATACCGCTTGGCCCTCTCCAGGTCATCATTCGCCTGCTCCAGCTCGCGCACATATTTGTGCAGCTGATCCTTGATAGCAGTGATTTGTGCCAACTGCTCCTCCAGGGAAGATATTTGTTGATAGCTTTGGCCATGCTGCTGCTCCAGCTTTTCCTGTCATTACAGGTCATGATATACCGTTAGTATACATTCAACAAAAAAATCAACACCAAATGATGTTATTCATTGTCACTATTCTGGGTCATGATGCAATTCAAGAACGATTTTCTATTTCATTTATACAGTCTCATATGTAATATGTATCTCAAATGTATTAAAGGTATCATGTGTTCTGGTTTATTTGTATTGTTTGCTTTGTTTGTATTGTCTGTCTCATATTTTTTCAAATTTTTATTGTATGTCTTCTTAGAATTTTCTATCTGCTATTTTGAAAATGTAATTTGTTTTTCTCCCGTATTGTGTCTCATATGTTCTAAATCATTTGTTCCACAAGTAAAGTTTGTATTGCTTGTACTGTATTAATTTTGTCTCATCTTACTCTTTGGTTCTTTCGGTAAAGTCACGTAGGTGAAAACAAAATAAAAACAACTAAATTAAATCACGACGTTTTGGAAGCAACACAGGCCTCCGTCATCAGGTGTGACTGCTCCAGCAACAGTAATTATGCTACGTGACTTTACCGAAAAAACCACAAAGAGTATGGATCCTTGCAGTCACGAAAACTTCAAATCTAGAATTATAATTGTCTCATCTTGTTTGTACTTTTTCAGGTATTACCTGATTTAAATAGGTTCATTTTTACTGTCTTGTATGGTGTCCCATTTATATTGTGCCTTGTTTTTATTCATTCATATTTTGTAGCATTGGTACCATCTCAATAAGCTGTTGTCTTGACTGGCATGATTCATAATAATTAATTATGAATAATCATTCATCATACTCTTTGGGTCTTTCGGTAAAGTCACGTAGATAGAAAAATAAAAATATCACAATGTTTCGATCGCAGGAAAAAATATATATATTTCTCCTGCCTCAGCAGTTCTCCTGCCGTATTTTTTCACCTGAAGACGATTGCTTGTGTTGCGATCGAAAAATCGTGATTTTTTTTCATTCTTTTTCTATCTACGTGACTTTACCGAAAGACCCAAAGAGTATGAATTCCTGCAGTCACGAAAGCTTTAAGTCAATAATTAATCATGCCAATTGGTCACGGTATTGTCAGGCAATGTCAGGTTGTAGGGTAAAGTTGGTTGTTTATAGGTTTAGATTTAAGTGAATTTAATGTTATCGCAAGGGTGTTGCATAATATTTTTCAGGGTGGAGACCGGTGCTTGATGGTGTCCATGACTATGCTGTGGAGGTATATGCATGTGCAAGAGAGTTTTGTGAAGGTGTGTGATTGTGCTGTGGAAGTGTGTGTGAATGGGTGTGTGTGTGTGTCATGGTGTGTGCGTGGTGGTTCTGTAGAGGTGTGTGTGCATGTGTGATGGTGCTGTGGAAGTGTGTGTGATGGTGTGTGCGTGTGTCATGGTGTGCGTGTGGTGGTTCTGTAGAGGTGTGTGTGCATGTGTGATGGTGTTGTGCAGGTCTTTAACAGGGTTTTTGCACCTGTTTACTATTTAATTAACATATGTGTTTGTATTTATGTGTTTCTGTGTCTATATATGTGTGTGTGCATGATCGTGTATTCATGTTTTATTTAATGTGGAGTACTGTGCACTACTGTACTGTAGAGTAGGATGAAGAGGGCTATAGTGTCATGCGATGTACAGGCTGGTGTATCGTAGTGTATTCTAAATATTGTAGTCTGTGATATAATTAAATATAGTGTAGTGTATTGTGTGGTTTATAGTGCAGTGTATGTCAGACCTAGTAAAGTGTGAGGGTGAATACGGTGAAGATTACCTGAGTGAGAGGGTTGAGAAGGGGGTGGGGTCTGGTGAGGCTTAAGTGTGAATAGGGGTGAGTGTGTTGAGCCAGAAGTGAGGTTGAAAGTGTGAATAGGGTGTATTTTTATGTATGTAACAACATCAGTGTATACGAGGGGCTGGTAACTCCTCCACCTAGCACTAATTTATACCGGGTAGGGAATACCTCTCAAGCAAACTGCTGAGGGTGGCATTTGTGTGCAGATTGCCTGATGTGACGTTATTATAACTGTCTGGTCGACAGGATTGGTTGTCCCCATTTTTAAAAAGGGGGGCGGCACAAATTATAACTACCGGGGCATCTCCCTCCTCAGTGTGCCGGGAAAGGTCCTTGCAAGGATTATTTAACATCACCTTGCCAGCCACACTGGGGAGAGGCTTGCAGAGCCCCAAAGTAGTTTCAGGCCAGAGCGGTCCTTCACAGACACCATATTCTATGTCCATCTGCTACAGCAGAGGTGTAGAGGACCTACATTTTTACTTTATTGACCTGGCCAAGGCCTATGATACTATCAATAGACCAGGGCTCTGGATTATACTTTATGCTATTGGGGTCCCAGACTCTCTTGTCACAATCATTAAGGACCATCATGATGGTGAGCAGGCCCGGGTAAAGCTGCATGGCTGGGTGTCAGAACCATTTTCTGTTCACCTTGGGGTGCGACAAAGATGTCCATTGACCACGTAGTTCGAGAGGCTTTCCATGGATGTACCAGTCGAATTTATATCCAGTATAGATAGAACGGGAGGCTGATCGCCGCCCAGGTGCAGTCAAGGGATAGTTCCCTATTGACAACAATGTTACGTATGCGGATGATCTGGTGATTGCTGCCCACTCTGAGAATGAGTTGGAGATGCTACTGCTGAATCCAGAGCATGCTACTATGAGATGGAGCCTTACCATCAGCCCCACGAAAACAAAGCAGCTACCATGGGCAGTGTGCTTATGACCAGCTCTGGTTGGTCAGCCGAGGTCTCGCTCAGAATCAGTCGAGCGGCATTATCGTTCATCAGTTGCATAGTGCTTTGTGGAAGCTACCCAATCTATCACTTCATACGAAGCTCCAGGTCTTTTCGACCACAATTATGCATGTGAAACATGGAGCCTTCTAAAATAACATCTGTGCTAGTTGGAAACATTCAGGCTAGCCTGCCTATGATCCACCCTGGGTTTAACCAGACTGGATTGTATAAGCAGCTCACAGATCCTAAAAAGATGTGGACGCAGTCCCATCAGTGAGCTCCTCTGGCATGTGAGACTGCGTTGGATGGGTCATGTAGCATGCATGCCTAGCCACAACATGCCCAAGCAGCTTCTGTTTGGCTGAACAGATGGGGCTAAACGGGTATGGCACAGGCTAGAGAAGAGATGGACTGATATGGTAAAGAAGGATGTAGAGCAGATTGGACCTGCCGATGACTGGTACCAGCGGTATCAAGATTGACCTCTGTGGAGGAGGGCTTGTAACACTCACAATGGTTGGAGCACCAGGTGGCTAAAACGCACAAAGTTGGAACAGTAGGAGCAGTTGATGCATCTGAATGTCATCTCAGTTAGTCAACTCATGGCACCTGGAACTGTTCCATGACCTCCTGCCAACAGGCCTTGGACACTTCACGTGGCCTCAAAGTGCAGCTAGTATGCCACAAGCACCATGGTAACATCACCACTACTTAGTGGTGAATGGCGGTTGTTTTTGTACAGGTCTGTGTGTGTGATGGTGCTGTAAAGCGGTGCGCTGTACAACACCTTGATAATTTCCAGGTCATTAATCAAGCGCTGGTTGGTGGCGTGTAGCTCGCGAGTGCGGCCCTCGGCCTGCTCCAGCTGTGCCTCCAGCTCTGCCTCCAGCTCACGGCTACCAATGGTGAACTCCTCAAGCTCCTCCTGTGCAGCGATCCAACTGAAGACATGAAGACACTCGCATGAGCTCAGCCTCACGCCACGGCAGCCTCAGAACAAACAGGCATGTTCACCGAGTGGTGAGAGGCACCGTTAGATGTGTGCCCTTACCTTGCTTTGTATTTTAATGCATTTTGCTTCCAATAGCACAACTCCTCCTCCACGCTTGAAAACTCCACTTGTTCATCTTCATCCATGACTTAAGAGTCAAGTCACCCTTCACACCGCAGTGTGATGCGACAGCAAGCTTCTCTGTGTTGGCAGAAACCAGAGTGAGTTGAGCAATATTATTTTCACGCTCGTCTTAAAAGTAACATTCAGGAACACCCACCTCTAATGTAACAAGGGAGACGTTTCAATTATAGCAAGGAGATCATAGTCATGATCAGTCTGAGATTGTCCACCATTGCAATAGGCTTAAAATAGGCACGCCGTGGTGAGGTGGGGGAAGGAAATCGGGAGGACAGGGATGTGTACAGCTCAATCTGCAATCTGACACATTGCACTTTATACACATGGCTGCAGATAAACATGCAAACCTTTCAACGCCTCATCAGTGACCTTATTACAGACCAATTCATACCTTATTGGTCACGCCGTGCCTTTATACATCTCAACGTTCATCCTACAAAGCCCGTATTGAAACGGCTATATGGACATGAAACTCAATATCCCTGCACGAGAATACGGGTAAATCGTATGGGGATGACAGGTATGAACGTGCCGAATAGAATATTTACAAAAAAACTGTTTGTGGGGAGGAGTAAGGCATTCCTTCACAATCTGAGATTGCAGAAGTGACCAATTTTGACGCCGAATCCACATTCTCGTCTCCCCCATATTGCCTCAATTGCGCTATACTGGGCGTGTCAAATACACTGTCTACTGTATAGAACGGTGCGAGTGAAAATAAATCATCTCTCGTTTCTGAATGTTTAATACTGAACCCCATCGACACCGGTACTCTTGCACGACACGCAGACCCCTACGCGGCTCGGCACAACACGCAGACCCACCCTGGCAGCCCTCACTCCTTCCTGGAGCTCTCCTCACTCTCAAACGCACACATGGTGAAGACATTAATTCTAGATTTGAAGCTTTCGTGACTGCAATGATTCATATTCTTAGGTTTTTTCGGTAAAGTCACGTAGGTAAAAAAAATTACTTGATACAGCTCTCGTGGCTGTGACGGTACCACCTGAAGACGGAAGCTTGTGTCGCCACCAAAACGTCGTGATTTTTATTTTACTTTTTAATGTTTTTTTTTTTTACCTACGTGACTTTACCGAAAAAAACCTAAGAATATGGTGAAGACACTTCACTACCAGCAGCTCACATGATGAAGATACCTCACTACCAGCAGCTTATGTAAAAACACCTCACCCTCAACTCCTCACACAGGGTTCCTCATCACATGCAAACACTTCTTCTACACGCAGTTCCTCACACGAAGATACCTCACTACCAGCAGCTCACACACGGTTTCCTCATCACATTAAAGCCCTTCACACGCAGTTCCTCACACGAATAACAACTCGTTCCCTGCTCCTGCCCACACGAATGACAACTCACTCCCTGCTCCCACTCACACGAATGACAACTCACTCCCTGCTCCTGTTCACACGAATGACAACTCGCTCCCTGCTCCCACTCACACGAATGACAACTCACTCCCTGCTCCCACTCACACGAATGACAACTCACTCCCTGCTCCCACTCACACGAATGACAACTCACTCCCTGCTCCCACTCACACGAATGACAACTCACTCCCTGCCCCCACTCACACGAATGACAACTCGCTCCCTGCTCCCACTCACACGAATGACAACTCACTCCCTGCTCCTGCTCACACGAATGACAACTCACTCCCTTAAATTTCGATTTAACTCACTCCCTGCCCACACGAATGACAACTCACTCCCTGCTCCCACTCACACGAATGACAACTCACTCCCTGCTCACACGAATGACAACTCGCTCCCTGCTCCCGCCCACACGAAGCTGTCTCGGCTCGCCGGCTTCTCTCTCCCTTCCCAGTCGGCCTCGCGACGACGTCACGGCGACGAGCCGCCTCGGCTCGGTGATGTCACTTTTTGTATTTTTCAAAAAACCCGTTACCAAGGTGCCCCCCCAGCTCCGCTCCGTATCTCCTGCGGCAGATCAGCGCGAGAGGAACCCAACAGAAACAGGAGCCGGGCTCGAAGCTGGAGCCTGAGGCCCGTGAGAACGAGAGGCGGGAGGGAGGGAGCCGCGAAGATTCGCGATCCGCGGCGCAGGCCGCGATCCTCCCGCTCACCTCTGCGGGTGATCGCTCCCCGTGATGTCACGTGAAGCCGCCGTGGCGCCACGCGCTTACGTAGCTACGGCCGCTCGTGCGGTGCGTGATTACGTCACGACGCACGCTGGGAGACTGTGCGTGATTACGTCACGACGCACGCTAGGAGACTGTGCGTGATTACGTCATGACGCACGCTTGGAGACTGTGCGTGAACACGTCACGACGCGCGCTGGTAGATTGTGCGTGACTACGTCACGACGCACGCTGGGAGACTGTGCGTGATTACGTCACGACGCACGCTAGGAGACTGTGCGTGATTACGTCACGATGCACGCTAGGAGACTGTGCGTGATCACGTCGCAACGCACGCCGGTGGCCTGTGCGTGATTACGTCATGACGCACGCTTGGAGACTGTGCGTGATTACGTCGCGACGCGCGCTGGTAGCTTGTGCGTGTTCACGTCACGACGCGCGCTGCCATCTTGTGCGTGATTACGTCACGATGCGCGCCGGAAGCCTGCGCGCGTGATTACGTCCCAAGCGCGCCGATGGCCTTTGCGTGATTACGTCACGACGCACGCTGGGAGACTGTGCGTGATTACGTCACGACGCACGCTGCCAGCTTGTGCGTGATTACGCCACGCGCGCTGGTGAGACGGACGTGACGACACGCGGTTCGGTGAGGCCAGCGCGGGCGCTCATTGGCTCCATGTGGCACCGACGGGCAGCGTGGTGACGTCAGGAGGCCGAGCTGAATCGTGCGTAATGACGTTCAGCGCGCTGATTGGCTGTGCGTGATGACGCAATGATGCGCGGTGACGTCGCGCGCGTTCATCGCGCGGCGCAGCCCACGCCCCCGTCTCTCTCACCAGGCCGGGCTTCCATGCGGCGTCGTTTTCAGGTTCGCTCCGCTCCTCATCCCGTAACGCGGCCCCCAACGCGACTCCAACCCTAACCTAGCTACACAACCACGTCTCGCCGCACCATCACTCGATCCCATCTCCCTCCGCGAATGTATCGTGCGGCGCGGAGGCTGCGCGATGTGGTTGAGGCACGTGGAGCGCGGGACGAGAAGCCTCGCGGCCTAGGCCTCGCGTTGTCCTGGGCCCCTCTCCCCGGCCCCTACCACCCCCTATACCCCTCGCTCGTGCCGCACGATCCCGCGATGTGTCGGCGCTCGCTATCTCGGCTGCTGCTCGTGGAGGCGCAGCCGCGAGTGGTGGTCGCTGGGTGATCCTGGCGCTCTGCCGTGAGAGCTGCAGCCTGGCGCTGAACGTGCACGCCGCCACGTTGTTGATGGCGGGCGACTTCATCTGTGGTGCCGCAGGTTTCCCATCGTTGCTTTACTCGGGAAACGCGACACGATGTCCGGGGGCCTAGATGTGCTGGCCATGCGCGAGGAGGACGTGCTCAAGTTCCTGGCCGCCAACTCCCACCTTGGCACCACGAACTGTGACTTCCAGATGGAGCAGTACGTCTACAAGCGCAAGAACGACGGTACGGCGTCTCGCCACACGCTTTTAAAAATAAGCTACTTCTCTACCGAATGCCTGTTTTGCTTGAGGAATGTTTGCAATTGAACATTACGGTAGTAACGCGGGTTGCCTCCTTGCGTGGTTCCCATTTTCAGGAATCTTCATTTTGAACTTGAAGAAGACTTGGGAGAAGCTGCTTCTGGCGGCCAGGGCCATCGTTGCCATTGAGAACCCAGCGGACGTTTGCGTCATTTCTTCCCGCCCCTATGGCCAGGTGGGCTCGTGGCCTCGCGTGAAATGGCCAGACACTTGTTGGGACTCCTCGGTCATCCCACTCGCGTTAGTCTAAACGCGTTTCTGATGGATATAGATGAGACCCAAAGACGCATTCATTCCCACTTGGCATGAAGCCGGCACACAGCTGGAGCTCTGCGCTGAGACCAGACTTGATCGATGAACGCGGAGCGTAGTCTGTGTGCAACAGCAATCTGCAGGGTTTTCGCTGACACCGGTAGGGCTTCTTGTGCCCCCTGACTGGCCGTTGGTAGTAGGCCCTGCTACATTTGTAAGCCACCCAAACTTATTACTTCAGATGTATGGTAGCTTGCATCCTTTTGCTGAATATAGCATGTTTCAAATCTTAAATTGATTGATCGAGCGAACTTGGTATAATGGCGTAAAAATTGTAAATGTTCAACTATTCTGCACTAATATCAGAATCTTTATTTAGACTGGAGGAATCCGATGAACTGTGAAGCTCTTTTTCACACGTCAAGAAGTTATTCTGCAAATGTACAACACCATGTTAAAGTCATGATGTTGCTTATGTTATGGAACACGGTTTCGCATAACTGGGTTCTTAAGCTAAGTGAGGGCCCCTTGTGTCTGATCCCTCGTACATTAGAGGCGGGAACACTGCACCCCTCTCTTTCATGCCTGGGCTGCCTGGCTGGGAGAACTCGGCTCATGGTATAAACGCCTGCTTGGCTTGTAAATAAAAGCCAGGCAAGTAATTGAGTAAATAATAATATTATACAAGAATAACCGGAGTGAAAAATAGTTAAGTTCTATTTAACATTGTATGGGATTTGTTTTCCTATACTGTGCACCCATGTCGTGTTTCTATGTTGTAATGTTCTAACCCGCCTCCACTGGACATCTGAAAAAGATCTCTATACCTCATTAAATTCCTCCGGTATAAATAAATATTCGTATTCTGAAATGGCTCCCTTTTATAAATGATGGCATGAATATTAAATCTCCGCACTCATATCAAAAATCAACCATGTTCAATTTGGCCTTGCTATAATGATTCCATAACTTAAACCAATTGGACAAGATTTTTTGCATATAAAATTCTAAATTGTTTATAAGAGCAAAGTTTACCTGTGTGCCAGTCACAAGCCACTATATTCAGATATGTAGTCCAATGAACATTAACGTTTTATAGAATGTTTTCGTATAATAATTGCAGCCTTTTTGATAAAGTTGCTTTCATCTTGTGCTGCTCAGCGTGCAGTGCTGAAGTTTGCTTCTGCTACCGGAGCAACACCGATTGCTGGGCGCTTCACCCCCGGAACCTTCACCAACCAGATCCAGGCTGCGTTTCGTGAGCCACGCTTGCTCGTCGTGACCGACCCTCGACAGGACCATCAGCCGCTCACGGAGGCTTCCTACGTTAACATCCCCTCCATTGCCATGTGCAACACTGACTCGCCCTTGCGCTACGTGGACATTGCTGTTCCCTGTAACAACAAGGTACAGCTGATAGTCTCCTCCATCTCTTCTGCTTAAGCCCAATCACATTTTTAATAGTTAAAAGCTCTCGAGCCCTTCTTCCCACGTGGCGTAAAGCCGGCACACAGCTGGAGCTCTGCGCTGAGACCAGACTTGGTCGATGAACGCGGAGCGTAGTCTGTGTGCAACAGCAATCTGCAGGGTTTTCGCTGACACCAGTAGGGCTTCTTGTGCCCCCTGACTGGCCGTTGGTAGTAGGCCCTGCTACAATTTCGCAAAATATCATGTTAATTCCTATGGTTAAGGCTTTCAATAAAGTTAATTTACTCTTGGCAAACAGTCGAGTTAAAAAGCTTCAGTATAATTAAGACTATAGCAAATATAAGTACAAATGTAACTTTCTAAAGGTATGGTGTTGAATGCAAACGAGTTGCAATTTAAATGCAATTACTAATACATTTTGTCATCATATGTGATGCTTTTTTGTCGAGCAGAGTTAAGTCGCCACTTAACTGTCCCCTCTGTCCATCTCTACTGTTTGTTGTATCCCCTGTGCCCCTGATCTCCCCCTCTCCTCTGTCCCCTGTTATTGCACCCTGTCCCTTATTTCAGGGAGCTCACTCCATCGGCCTCATGTGGTGGATGTTGGCTCGTGAGGTGCTGCGTCTGCGTGGCACCATTGGACGGGAGCACCCCTGGGACATCATGCCTGATCTCTACTTCTACCGTGACCCAGAAGAGGTAGAGCCATAACAAATCATCGAGGGGGCTGTCAGTACTCTGTTCCTAATCATACTTGGAGGCTGACTTGTACATTTTGTACGTGTGGCCAGTTCAGTCTAAATTGGCACCTTCAAATGGTGGTGCTTATACTGGACCAGTGAGTTTATAAATGTTGTTTTCCAGTATCATTCCAAGTGTACACCCTCCTCCATGCTTGTTTATTTACTTTTTAGCTTATATTTTATATTATTTGTCAGTGACTACATTTATGCATTTTCCCAACTGATCTTCAGAACATTTTCTATGTCACTGAATAATCTTAGTGAGTGTCCTTACCTGACGACTGATTTTAATTAATGCAGCCTCTAGCTGTTCCATCATTATAAATTGCTTTTGTAACTGATAATTTTTTTTATTCTTGTTTCCACCTACTGAAATGCATTTTCATGTTGCACTAAAATCATGTACAATGCTACGTGATACATTTTTTCTAGACTGATAACAAGAAGCAACATTGGTTTATCATTTTACTATTGAACCTCAGTGTAAGGTTTTAAATAATGTTTGGTTCTATATCCTTATTGCAATATGTCTGCCTCTATTACTCACATACTGACTAAAGTATTTGACAGCCCATGGTTACTGCAATTGCACTGGATGATGTATGTTGTGCATGCTATTTTCTTGTGGCCCTGACTCGTGATGTTTTCATTTATAGATTGAGAAGGAGGAACAGGCTGCAGCAGAGAAGGCGGCTGTGAAGGAGCCGGAATACCAGGGCGAGTGGGCTGCTCAGCCCACCGAGGCTCCGCCGCCGCCGGAGGTTGCCGACTGGGCTGCCGAGGCAGTGCCGGTACCCTCCGTGCCCGTCACTGAGAATCCCACCGGTAAGTTTCAATGGCTGCAGAAAATGTGACACGGTGGAGTGGTGCTATAGGGTGATGGACAGCTGTACACCATGGCCTCGTGTAACATGCTGCCTCTGTTTGTGTAGCTGCAGCAACTTGGGGCTTCCAAGCAACCATGGAGGACTGGACTGCAGCCCCCACAGCTCAAACCGAGGACTGGGGTGGAGCCACTGCCGATTGGTCTTAGGACCACACCGTCGGCACGGGGAACGCTGGGACAATCTCCTGGCAGCCAGACCAGTGGCCGCTTCTGCATCTATCCGTGTGGAGAAGGCGGCGTTACTGTGGCACAATAAAAAAAACAATTGTGATTTGTGGCTTTTTTGTATTCATTTAACTTTCCAATAACGTGTATACAACTAAGGCTTGTACAGACTGCAACAAGCATGTGTTGATGAGTGCTCAACCCAAGTCAAAATAATCTCAATGAGATGCAAGGCACACTTTACAATGGTGATGTGCAAATAGTGTGAGACGCACGTAACTGTTGAGGCACAGATGCATAACTGCACGATGGAATGCTTGCAAATGTCATAAAGACAGGAATGAAGCACTTTTCTGTCTTGGCACAGGTCATTTGAACACTTGGCTGTATTGTTTGGGGAATTGGTAACATGGCTCTCTTGGTGACTTTGCTGCCTCAACCATTGCACACACACTTAAGCAATGGGTTTGTAATGGATCAATAATTCAACTCGATTATGGCAGTGCTTTCCAACCGATATCCCACGGCTAAGTCTCGAGTATGGTGCGTTTTTTTGGACTCTTGGGAAAACCTTGGCAAGCTAAGGGGCCGTCCATAAATGATGTCACGCACCTGGGGGGGGGGGGGTTCGAGAAATGGTACGTCACATAAAAATGCGCAACTTTAAATATAGACAACACGTTCTACTGAATAGACTTAAATGTTTTCTCCAACATCAAGAGTGCAGCGGCAGCATTACGAACTACAATGACAATAGTTTTAAGCGATTTGAAGCATGTGTTTTTTTTGGGGGGGGGGCAGAGCTTTGTGACGTAATTTGAGGGGGGGTCTGACTGGCGGGGGGGGGGGGTAAAAATAGCGTGACGTCATTTATGGACGCCCCAAAGGCAGTGGCCAATCCAGCCCCCACCTCTCGCCCTCCATTTGTGTAACGGCAGCTATCGGCCTGCTGCCCGGGCCTCAACTCAATGATGCATGTACAACAGGGCAAACGCTGCCATGCAGATTTAACAAGCTCTAAATTGCCATGGAATCAATGTTTTGAGACGCGCCGGTGTGGTTAGCTTTTGAACACGATCCACTGAATCATTTCGGGACATCGGGCAGCAAAAGGAAGTTTGCGTGCATAATTAATAGAGAATGAGGTAACGTATCCAGCTTCACATGCAAAGTTTGTTCTTGAGGAAATGACAAGCTGCGACATCCTTGACGCTCAAATTGCAACCGTGCCACTCACCCCGGGCGATTCATTGGCCGGTGCAGTGCGAGTCGTGATAATCCCTATCAACAGATCCTGCGTGAGTGGGAGTTCAATGTCTCAACACATTTGTTTCCTTATTAACCGTAATCTCTTACGATTTAATCGTGTTACAATTGTAGCCTGCCGAACTTATGGCAAAGCTTGAGAACTTTTGTGCACTTAGGCAACCAGATCTTTACAGCACGACAGCTGAGCGAAGTTGGGATTATGGAGAGGATGTTTGAATGTTCCTTTGTGAACTTTTAAACAAGCTTACGACTTTGTGACGAGGAGATCAATGGGAACTGTCAGGCCATTAAAGCATATGGAACGGTCTTACCAAAGTCTGGGCGTTTTCAGACTTTGGAAATTAATTTGATGATGTCATCCAAGCTCATAAACTTAGACCCTTAATTTAAGGATGTTGAAAATATGGAGGAAAACATGTAACAATTGAATAAATACATTGAAATTGCATGAAAAATCGAAGAGTATCAATTCGAATGGAGGGTCAAGTTGTGAGACGTGTTCTCATCAAAAACGATTCACGGTGACTTTTCCAATTTGAATTGGAGAAATAAAGAACAAATATAGATAACGTATTAAACATTTCAAATTCGCTCACAATATAGTAATTATAACAGTCAACGGAAAGGAGCTGAAAAGAAAGCGAACAAGTGGGTCAAAAGATAAATGCGAGCAAGTTTGGACAAAAAAAGTGTATCTTGGACACAGTGATTAAGTGGATGTGTCTATCTCGCGGAGCAGTCCGTTATGCATCTTCATGCGCAGCGCTGGGTTTGTGGATTTGTGAACACGGATCATGGAGGTGCAATGTCCCTGTCACGCCTGCAAGGCTGAGCTTGTTGCTGTCCTTGCTTGGCTCGGTTGTTCTGCATCTCCATCAGCCATGCGAAAGAAGAAAATGCGGATCCGCTCGAGTGCGGTGGGGTTTTGGGCTCGAGAGAGGAAGAAGCCATTTGCTGTGAGAGCCCCGAGCTCACTCGGTCTGTGGTGAAGCCGCCTCGAGCCGCAGTGCGGGGCTGGGACACCACGGCGAGAGACGAGGCTTACGACCCCGTGTCAGTTCTCGCGTTTTTATTCACAATGACACGGTGGTGAAAAACTACAATTTTACAAGCAACTGGCACATTTTAACTTTTCCAAGCAACTGGTATATGTTCTTGCACGACCTTGTGGTAACACACAGCTGTAAATCTATGTAATAAGGAATACAACCGAGTGGCAGGAAAATTGCCACAATATCACTAACAATATTATACCACGCAATTAAATAATACTACACAACGCAATAATAAACCCGACCTTCCCATAACAAATAACTCAACAAAATAACACCAAACAACAAAACATCCCCAACACAATCACCATAACATCCACAAAACAAAATAACACCAACAATATAATTTTAAGCTGCCAAAACATGTTGAATTGGCATTGAGCAACACTCGTGTTTTCAATGCCAGGATTTGGTTGAGCTTCGCAAGCGTTTTTGATGTAGAAATGCACACGCTGAATAAACGTCCGCATTTCTATATTTTATTTTGGAATTTGGTTCCCCAAAATCTTTATTTGTATCGTGGAGAGGCACGATTTGGAACTTTACTTATATAAGAGCTAATACAATTAAACATGGAATATTCATTTTGATGATGTTGGTGTTCATGATGATGAGAAAAACCTGAAAATTTAAAAATATGTTTTAGCCCTCCAATTTTAAGGGGTACAATTTGGAACTTTAACACCACTATAAAATAGGTATTTAACATCGAAATATTGTGAATGACACAAATGGAGTCGGTGTGATACTGATAACTAAACATTTTGAAAGTATTTTTTTTGTATTTTGGGTCTCACGTTTTTTTTGTGGGGCACGATATGGAACTATTTTGTCCAAGCATTACTTTCTGACAATGATCATTCTTAGTGTTTACAAATTTGAATCGATGTTTTAAAATCAATGATTACATATTTTAAATTGAAAACATTACCATTTAACTCTGTCACTATGACCCCGAGTAACTTAGTGCATGAACAGTTGATCTGTATACTAATCATATTGCACGCAAATGTAATATGTTCCACAAGTACACATACCCATATGTATTACACAAACTCAGTAAATATTCAACGCAGGACCAACATTTGAACGTAGCTGAAACAATTTGACCAACCTTGCCCCAAAGTTCTATATTTACTGGGATACTACTTCAGTTTGTGTTGTACTCACAACCTTCGTTCAACATCGCATCAACATAATATTTCAACCGTGCCACCACGTTGCAGGACCGACGTTATATTCTATGTTGCTCAACGCCACGACAGAAACTCAACCAAAATTCAATACATGAACGCCACGTGCCCTGCTGGCCCGTAACGTTAACACAACGGTAACAAATGCGCAACATAACGGCACAACAATAACAAACGACTGGAATTGTGTTAACAACTACGATACAAAAATGACAAGCGATGTGAAAAAATAAAAAATGACAATCACAGTGGTACAACTATCACCGTCGTGGTTGCAATATCGGCCTCTTGCCTCCCCTTCCCGCGTGGCTCCGCCAACTCCAGTCAACGAGGGGCGCAATTTGAGCTGCAGAGAGAGCCCACCACCGTCTCACACAACTGGATGCTGTACCCCTTCCTCTACAGTAAAGCAGCCAGTTGTGAAGGCCGGCGGGGAGCGAGGTGCTGGGCCAGAGAGGGCCTCTTCCTCCCCCCACAAGCGTCTCCATCGGCACCCCCGGATCCACCTTCACGGTGGTGCCCGAGTATGGAGGCGCAACTCCCGTCGAAGTGTAACGATCCGTCCGTCTCACCGTACACCCCAACTATGCCTCACGGTACACACATCATCTCGATGTCGCGGTCTAAACCTCCCTAGCTGCTACGTGCATCACGCACTGCAATTCTGTCTGTGCACACGCTGTGCCCGCCAACACGTTTACCTTTGCAGATGTCAAGCACGCAATTTGAACCTGCCATACGCGCACCGAACACTCACGCGGCGAGGCAGCGCTTTCAGTTAACAATTCTTAAATTTCTCTCACAGCAGGGGATCTTCTCGCGGGGGTCAATTAACCCGTGCACCTTGGTTTTGTACCTATTTCTCCGCGGATGGCAGAAGCCGGCAACGCAAAGCGGACAACAACAACCAAGTAGGCAAGAGGCAGACGGGTCGCCAGGTAAGACAGGTAAGGAGGACAGGAGACAATCTCGGCGCTGTGCCGACGAACAGGATTGACTTACGAGCTCGCGGTGGAGCTACCCAGTGCCAGTACTTAAGGGCGCCCCGTGGCCTTATCAGCTCACGGTGGCCAATCACCTCGCACCCAGCCCGCACGACTTCCTCCCACACACCATCCATATCTGAGAGTAGATCTCTCCGTGAGCTGTATGGCGTTAACAATGCACGCGGCATTGGTGATAAGGGCCACGTAGCTCGCGTCGTTGGTAGTAACGTGTTGCAGTGTAGTTTCACAAGGACCCGATGGTAACTGCGTAAATCACTTTTTTGTTAGACAGAGGCGGCTCCAATTCATCCACGAACCATCCGCGTTGCTGCTGATGCCTCTCAGCAGATTTAAGCCAAGGCTCGAAAGGGTTCCCATCCACTTCCACCCGAATTTCTGCGTTTATACAACTGTACAGAGAACACTTGGAATTATAAAGCGAATGTTTTTGTCCTAAACGTGCACGATTCTAATTGCAGTAATATATGTTCTCCTCTCCCTGAACTGCCCACCAAGTCGTGTACTCAACTATATTATCGCCTTCCCATGTCAGTTTCTACACCGCAGTGTTGTTACTTTTAGCTCTCAACTGCCTGTAAAGTTAGTGTGTGTATTTTATTTGGACCCACATTATCTAACGAGTTATATTGATTTATCAGTGCTAACGTAACACGGTCACCACCGTATGCGTGCAGTGATGTATGTTGAACTTCTTTCGCACCGTACTTAACCAAACGTGCTAATAGGAGGTGCGGTGGAAGGACAACAAATTAAACCACAAAAAGCAGTTCTAAACAAATGAGTTTTCAATCTCGACTTAAAAGTGCAAAGCTCGCATTTGCTTCCTTATATCTGAAGGAAGAACGTTCCAGACGGCCACAGAAGCGCATCTGAAAGCGCGCGATTGCAGTGGCCGTCTTTGTTCGATGGCCAGCCAAAAGCCAGCGCTGCGAGGATGACCGGAGTTTGCGCGATGGTTTTTGCTCCTTGAGATCTCTGGACGTCCCATTGCTTCAGAGCTGAGCTGAGCATTTTGGAGGACCTTGGGCTAAGCGACTGAAATTTTTGGCGACGGACGACGGACTCACGACTTTCTGCTGCAACGACCCGGGCACGCACCTCGGCAGAAGTCTTGTTCCTGTGGGGTCAAGATTCGGGGTTTTTCGGTAAAAATGTAGCCCTTGGAAGGCTGTCAAGGATTTACATGTGCGTTGTACGCGTACGGTAGGACAAGCACCAGACGATGAATGAGTTGAAGAGCAGCTGCCCGCCTGCCTCTTGCAGTCCGCGCAAAGAGAGTGGCGTTTTGCCATAGGAGTCAGCTCCTTGTCTCCTCGTGAGGGCACATTTGAAAGTAAATAATTAACCCCCCGCTTCTCGCTGTGCTAGCATGCACGATGGGCAATGCCAGGGGGACATGTGTTTAATTGTTGGTATCGGATGATGGTGGTGACGATGATGAGCACACGTCAATTGCCCGGCGTGTGCGTTGCAGTTGACGTAAAGCAGAATCGTTTCGCAGAGTTACCCAAAATCACCATTGCCTCTCCTCTTGGTTGCCTGTCGCGTGATCGTATCGACCTCTACGATTGGGTGGTGTGACCGCTCATGGGCGCAAGCGTAGGCTGGGGAGAAGTGGGGGGCAGCAGTGTAGTGGGGGGGGGGGGGGTGCAGTGGAGGCTACGTGCAGGGCGGTTGATGCGGTTGGAAAATGGGCTAATCTCCTCTTGACATGACCTCACAGCCCACCGCAGCTGCGACCACGGCGATCGCCACAGGACCTGGGTTTTTGGAGGCATCTGCTCGGCGCCACTTTACGGGAATCGACGCGGTGCCTCCGGGCCCCGACCGATGTATGCCCGGTCCATTTCCTTGTGCGGCTCACTCGGTGGGGGGGGGGGGGGGGGCAAAAGGCCCGGCTGTCACGGCACGTGTTCGCCACTATCGTGATGGGTTGGGGTGGTTTTATTTATTCGGGGAAACACAGCGTACAAAATTGTCTCGATCAATGTTAAAGTTGGTACTATATTGTCAGCACAGAAATGCGTTCTTGTATTTGTGTGAATTGTGTACGGATTGGGAGAGGGGAGAGCACACGTTTGGATGGGTTTCTCTCTCTGGACTCAACGAGGCACCTTGTTTGACCTGCAGCAAAAATCGGCCCGCATTGCCTTGGTTGCGAAGAGGTCGTCGCTTGCGTCTGACACTGTGAGCCCGTGAACAAATGACCCGGAGTGCATTACTTCTTGCCAGCCTGCAAGATAGTGCTTGGATAGAGAGACTACCATGGCACAACAGATGTTATAGGCTGTGGATCTATGGTGTGCTCCCACAGCTAATGCTTCCCGCCTTCACCAACTCAAAGTGACCAGCGTGGTGAAGTATGGTAAAATAACCACCCCCACGACCCGCATGGTGTGGAGAGGTCCTTGATTGGCATGTCTTTACTCGCTGTGAAATCCTCCTAATTTTTGAGACCGTGTGCGATGACGCTGTACTCGAGGCATATGCAATGCTGTCTATATGGGGTGCCACCACGATGTACCCCCTCGCAATTCAATCCACTTGCAATTCAGTCACGAATTGATTGACTACTAATGTTTTTCAAGCAAATGCGGTGAATGTAGCAGCCTATAGTGGCGAAAAGGTACACACGAAGCCATATATGAATATTCAACGTGGCATTCAATACATATATTGCGAGTTTAAGAATAAGACATTTGACATTTCTTTAAATTATGCATTTTTACACCCCTACTATGTACGAATTAGTGATGTTTCGCATCTCTGGTTAGCATGGTTCACTGCGTATGATGCGAAATAAGTTCAACATACATATTTTAGGAAATGAATGAATAAAACAGAGATGTCAGAATAATGTCGCATAAACGCGAGATTATATCTTTTTTCCAGATCGCGACTCCAACAACAGGAAGTGCTGCCCACTGGCTTATCGCGACACTGCCAGCCTCCGCACGTCGTGGCCACTGCTGCCCCTGCAGCCCCCAGCTCCCTCCCTCCCTCCATGCCTTGCTCTCGCGTCCCCTGCAGAACCAGCTCTCGCTCATCCATGTAGCGCACGCAGAGAGTGGGGAACATGACTTAATTCACAGTTCCTGCAACCGCAGTCTAATCCCTGCTTCACCATTGAATCCCTGTTACACACGCATAGCCTAAGCGCTGCTTCACAGTTAAAACCCTGTTCACACCCGGTCTCATCTCCACTGCACACACAGTCGAATCCCTGCTGCACGCACAGTTTAATCCTTTATACAAGGCATCATGTTTGCAATAACCACAACACAAGCAGTCAAAATGCAAACAAAAAGAAACAACTGTGATGATGATAATGATATGCACTGTCCTTGAAATTGATTGGTCCACACCCGAGACAGCTTTTCTTAGAGCCTAGTCTCCATTGGTGTTGGACCAGATGACGCCAAAAGGCGTACAACTCAAAGACAATGCACTATCAGAGTATTGAGAGCTCGGGGTAAGCATTTACACTAAGACATCTCCTTTACCAGTGTGTCAGTTATTGTACCAATTGAAAGGGTAAAAACCTATTACTATATTTTGCCACTGGTAAAGGAGACGTCTCATAGAGTTTAATCCTTGTTTCACGAAGTATAATCATTGCTGCACTCACAGGCAAATAGCTACTTCACAGTTTAAACCCTGCTGCACGCCCAGTCGAATCCCTACTCCACACCCAGTCGTATCTCTGCTGCACCCACGGTCTAATTCCTGCTGCACACACATTCTAATCCTCACTGCACACCCAGTCGAATCCTTATCTCTACTGCACTCCAGTCTTATCTCTGCTGCACACACAGTCTAATCCCCGATAAACTCACAGTCGAATCTGCACTGCACATGGTCAACATCAACACTGCTGCCTAATAATTAGGTACCAATGTGCCTGGCCTATGGGAACTATGAAAAAGCATTTGACTCAGTAAAATGTATGCAGTTATCAAAACTCTTGAAAACCAATGTCTAAATAAAACATATTTCAAAGCAATGAAACCCATTTACAAAAACAAAAAAGCCACAATGATATAACATAAAGAAGTAACCAACACATCTCATATTAAAAGGGGGAGTCAAAGTTATTTACACGGACATTAGAAGATATTTTGTGAAAATTAGAGTGGACACAATATTGACTGACCATCCGATATTTGCTGACAGCATGGTCATTATAACGTCCACTGGCAGTGAACGGCTGGAAATTTTACAAAAATAGTAGAGAAGGCTGCCAAGTTGGGCCCAGGATAATAAAGGTTCCCGTGCAACAAGTTCACTAAAATGGCGACATTTGTCAGACAACATAAAGCTACAAAACACAATCTTGATTTGAAGCTTTCGTGATTGCAGGAATCCATACTCTTTGGTTCTTTCGGTAAAGTCACGTAGATAGAAAATGAATAGATCACGACGTTTCGATCGCAACAAAAGCGACCGTCTCCAGGTGAGAGAGAGAAAGCTACTGAAACAAGGTCTCTCTAGGCCTGAGATGGGAGTCCCCTCAGGGTAAGAGGGCGGGGCTAGAGATGGTCTCCCTGAGGCTGTGGAAGTGGCCATTGTATTGTGAGAGGTTAGCATGTCAATGTACGAGCTTAGTATGCCGCAGCATCAGTGACTTGCCTAGTATGTCGCAGCATCGGTGACAGAGCGAGTAGGACATCCAGCCCGTCAATACAAAGACATCCAACCTAATAATGCAACTCAGAGTCAGATAAAATCGCAGGAAGGATGGAAACATCACGTCCTTCCAATGATTTCTCAATTTGTACCCTACTTCTCGGTTGAAGTTGTGTCTGTGTTTATATCTTTGGATGGCTTCATGAGCAAATCTTTGATATCCAGTGGGTTTGCAGAGTACCTTCGTCTTGGAAAAATCTATTTCGTGTGAGCCCACAGCGTTAAAACAATGATCAGCAACGGCAGAGGTATTGGTCCTAGCGTGCTTCAGATCTGCCTTGTGTTCGCGAACACGGTCCGAGACATGTCGTTTCGTTTCCCCAATGTAACTGCTGCAGCAGCCACAACTTATTTTGTAGACACCAGGGTATTGCATGTCAGGAATCACATCCTTTACAGATGGGATCAAATCACGGATTTTGTGTATTGTGTTGAAACGAACCTAGATCTTGTGTTTGTTTAAGATTTTGGATATCTTTTTGGTAACCCTTGCTATGTATGGCAAGGTGATGGTTTTGATTGGGTCCTCAGATGGTTGTCTCCCCATGGCTGGGGAGACAGCTTTGCGGATTGTACGGTCAGAATATCCATTCATCCTGAGGGCTTGGTGTACGTGCTCCAGCTCACTGGCTAGGTGGTGCTGGTCGGAGATGCAATGGGCCCTATGGTGTAGTGTTTTGATGAGGGAATTTTTCTGGGCTGGATGGTGGTGAGAATCAGGCTTTAGATAGGCATCCGTGTGGGTGGCTTTCCTGTAGACAAAATGTCCCAACGAGCCATCAGGTCTCTTCTCGATCTAAACATCCAGGAATGGTAACTTACCATCCTTTTCCACTTCCATGGTGAATTTGATGGCTGGGTGTATATAATTGATGTGGTTGAAGAATTGGTTTAGTGCTGGCTGGCCATGTGACCAGATGACGAACGTGTCATCTACGTATTTCTTCCACAAGAAAGGACATAGGGCGGATGTCTGGATGGCATCTGTCTCAAATTTCTCCATGAAAACATTCGCTACCACTGGTGATAAGGGAGAACCCATTGGGGTACCCTTTTGTTTGTAGAATGTACCATTCCAGGTGAAGTAAGTATTGGTAAGGCAGTGCCTCGTCAAAGTTAGCACATCAGAATTCAGTCCCTGTTGGACCAAGTCTTCAATGATTGCAATTGTGTCAGGCACAGGTACCTTGGTGAACAGAGAGACTACATCGAAAATGACAAGCAAATCATCTGGAGATAGTGAGATGTCTTTGATTCGAGAAACCAAGTGAGCTGAGTTAAGCACAGCTGAAGTGGTCTTGCCATTGAATGGAGGCAGGGTCTCAGACAGAAATTGTGCCAGTTTATAGGTGGGTGAGTTAATGGTGGAGACGATGGGACGGAGCGATGTACCTTCTTTGTGGATTTTTGGAAGGCCATAAAATCTTGGTGGTCTAGCAGCAGACAGTTTTAGAGAGAGCAGCTTGGTTGGTTCGATTAGAGAAGTCGAGTTAGTAATGACATTGTTGGTTTTCGTAACCAAGCGGTTGGTAGGATCTCTATTGATTTTGGTATAGCTACCATCCATAAGAAGGTCCTGAATTTTGTTGTTGTATGTGGTTTTATCCATGATGACAGTGGCATTGCCCTTGTCGGCTGAGAGGATGACAGATATCATCTCTCTTTTTTAATTTAGAGAGTTGAAAACGCTCATCCTTGCTGATGTTGCTAATGGGTTTCTTAGCGTTTTTGAGGATAGCAGCAATTTCAGATCTAGCAATGTCTGCCGGGATGTGTCCCAAACCTTTGAGGGCTACGTCGACCTGGGCGATGATATCATCCACTGGGATGCGTTTAGGGTTGGCTGCGAAATTCAACCCTTTAGCTAATACCGATTTTAGGCTGTCGGAAATTGGGCTGTTACTCTGATTGATAACAATCTTGTTAACATCTAACTTTTTAACATGTGGATCTGGCTTCTTCTTAGACAGGAAGCTGAATTTAGCAATCAGGTTAACTTTACATTTGGCTGACATTGAAGCGGCAGAAGAACTATCATGTTTTCTACATGGTCCAAATCAGATGTGGACATTTTTTCTGTCAATGCTAAGTGAGATTGTAAGAGAGTCTTGTCTAAATTATCAAGTTCAAATCGGAGCAGTCTTATTCGCTCTGAGATTAGGGCTAGGCTAGCCCTGAACAAGATCCGTTTAGCATTAGGAGAAGTGACAGCAGCAGATGTGAGTGTAAAGGCGATCGGTATTACCTTGGTATCCAGGCATCTTTTAATAATGGTGAGAGACTCGATCAAGTGAGCCTTCTTGTCTCGCAGTCTGTAAAAAGATCCAACAGTTGTGTGAAAACCCTCCCCGTAGAGGCGGTTCAATCTTGATTTGAAGCTTTCGTGACTGCAGGAATCCATACTTTTGGTAAAGTCACGTAGGTAGAAAATTAATAGATTACGACGTTTCGATCGCAACACAAGCAACCGTCTGCAGGTGAGAGAGAGAAAGCTACTGAAACAAGGTCTTATATAGGCCTGAGATGGGTGCAGCAGAGTATTCTGTACCTCGGACAGCTATTTACGTCGTACCAGAATCAAGGAGATAAATTAAAGGGGTGGACAAGAGGGGCTTTGAGTGATTTTTGAAAGCCGATTGTGATATTAAAATGTATTATTGTATAGTAATGTGCTTAAAGTAGAACGTTTTTATTAAATCAGTGTGTACTACCTGCTATGACACGTGGTTCAGAAACAACCACGGTCATTAACACGACAATATAGAACTCGAATAGTGTCGAAAGAAGCATGGATAGATACATGTTTGGAATCATACTGAGAGATGGAAAGAGAAACACATGTATTAGAGAGCATACATATGTAGGTTATTGGCGTAATAAAAAATGTGCAAAAAAATATGTGGGCTTGGGTAGAGCACGCTGGTACACGCGATGATGGCGGATGGTCAAGAATAATGACGGAAGAGTCAGCCAAGGGATGGGACACGTCCGAGACGCCATACGCCGAGGAGACGGAGCCATTAAATCATTTCGTTCTGCAAGTGCTAGGTGGATTATTATATCGCAGGACTGAGAGATGTTGGCTGCTCGGGGAGGCCTTCATCCAGCAGTGGATTGGCAGTAGCAGCTGATGATGATGATGGCCCCTGATGTACTCCATCAATCACCCTAATGTTTTTTCTGCAGTCTATATCGTGCCTGCTGCACCCACACCATTTCATTTTGTTGCACCCTCTATTTCCTCCATGAGTCCTCGAGGCTAGAAGACTAATCAGCATGTGGTGGTGGTGAACATATCTTGTGGCCAAGAGGCATGACGAATCTATCCTGACTGTCACGGACTGGGAATCACCATGTATAAGTTTGGTAACACCGCTCGGGGAATGTTTAGTTTCGTTCAAGCAACAGGTTTACAACTGTTGCAATGCGCCCTTCTAAATATACTTTCCATGCAGATGACGAAAGTGTTTCCATGCCTGATGTTTCCCCGCCACATTTTGTGCAATGCACATAATCTAGATATGCTGTTGCATGCGACTTCAGTCTCTAAGACTCACTTGCTTTGCTGCAAAAGGGCCCATCACAGTGCAGGAGTCGAATCCAGAGGATGCAATGCCAAGGCCTAAAAATGTGGCAATAGCGCTCAGAAACGTAGCCATTTTTATACGACCAGGCATCGAACAAAGACGGTCACCGCATCGCGCTCTTTCGGATACGCTTCTGCGGCCGTCTGGAACACTCTTCCTTCCGATATTAGGAAGCCACTGGAGCTATGCACTTTGAAATATAGATTGAAAACTCATATCTTTAACACTGTTTTTTGTGTTTAGTTTGTTGTCCTTCCCTCTGTAATTCCGATTAGCACGATTGGCTAGGTACGGTGCGTAAAGAAGTTCAACATACAAATATATAGTCATCCAGAGCGGCCAAACAGGCAGGCTCACCGCACAGACCCAGCCAGCACCCCTGCCGTCTCCGCTGACAATCGCACGTGCAACATTCTGTTCTGGGTGAACACAGTCGCACACCGGAGAGTTTTAAATGTAAATGTTTTGTACCACGTATCTGCATGTAACTTGTGTCTCAGTGTTATGAATCCATTTTCATTTTGAGCATCTCACACGTATATTTACTTTCGTAAGTTGCATTTTTTTTTACCAAAGTCTAATCACACGTACATGGCATTTTCCAGTTTCCCGTTACTGTACTGTATATAGATTCTCGTGCGCACGAGAAAAATAGCGACGCTAGGCGAAATTCTAAAATCGCAAGCGGCG